TGGTCAGTCAGAAAAAGTCGTTTAAAGGTTTAAACACATTTGACATGTGTGACTTTGAATATGGGTCAAGGTGATTTCTTTTTTGCAAACTTTCTTGGGCTTGATAAAAGGAACATGTTGCCCAAATATTATGATACTAGGTTTTTCTGTATTTCAGAAGAAGTCGTTTAAAGGTTTAAACACATTTGACCCCTGTGACCTTGAAGATTGGTCAAGGTCATTTCTTTTAGCAAACTTTGTATGACACTATAAGAGGAACATAGTAGCCTAATATAATGCTTCTAGGCCTTCCGGTATTTTGGAAGAAGTCGCTTAAAGTTTTTAACACATTTGACCTCTGTGACCTTAAAGATTGGTCAAGGTCATTTCTTTTAGCAAACTTTGTATGACACCATAAGAGGAAGGCCTTCCTGTATTTTGGAAGAAATCGATTAAAGTTTTTAACACATTTGACCTCTATGACCTTGAATATGGGTCAAGGTAGTCTCTTTTAATAAACTTTGTTGGGCTTCATCAACGGAACCTTCCAGTAAAATATGATAACTCTACGCCTTTTGATATTTCAGAAGTTGTTTAAATGAAAAGTTGACGGGACGAACGGACCGACAACGCGCTATGGCATAAACTCCCTTGGGACCCGATGTTGAAATTTGATAGCATATTTTCTTACAGAATGGGTTCATTATCATATCCGATAGATTTGATGTACAAACCTCGTTATGTAGGCCCGAAGTAGGATACAATATGGATATAATCTGCTTATGTTCAAATGCTTCACTAAAATTCAGAATAAATTGTATCCAAGGAAGAATCAGAATAAAATGTAGCCAACACTGTCCATTGTTACCAGAGTTGATCTTACTTCGACCATCTAGGATATTGGCATCAAAAAGGATGATCATAGGATTGATTATGGGAGTTTTCTTTGCGAAGTCATCCCGACTGATTTAATGGGCGACATCGCTGAACAAGAGATCCCAGAGAGATCGCCCACCATCGTATGAATATGAATTTTATTGGCTCTATGCAGGTTATATTTTCTATTTCTTAATCATTTTTTGTTTCAACACAAATTAAAGTGACATACGAAGTGCTTTAAAGTACTTTTAGAGAAATAAAGAAAAAAAAAAACATTCGTCAGCCTTTTTTTCGCACAACAAAAAACCAAAGGCATGCCATCTCAAAAAATGGAGATCTACCAACTATAACTGTCGAAATCGAAGATTTCCTGTTGGCTTTTACAGACCACGGAAAATATACACGAAATTTGGAAACGATCCAACTCGAGCGATTAAAAAAATTGTCAAAGTCCATTCGTCTAAAAAAATTCGCGACCATGGGAAAGCCCGAAAGATCATACATCGTCAGTGTCTGAAATGACCTTCTGTCAGCCAATATAATTTCATGGTACGTCACAAAGTGTAAAAAAAAGATATAATTAAAAGGGCCAAGGGAAAGCTTAAAATGAATTTGAGAAAAGACTTAAAACCAGTCATGTGATGAAGGACTTAAGAGGGACGACGATGGGAGTTCTTAGATAATTGGATTTATATTTAGTATTCGTGTGTTTTGGACTAAATTCACATCGACACAAGACATATTCATCATTTTTAAATGCTCGACACCCTGGAGTTTTTTTAGCTGAACATTTCAAAGACTTGAGCGACGTCACAATGTTGTAGCCCTTCGCGTTTGCTGAACCTTAAAATGCAACTTTCCTGGGGTGTCAAGCTCATCTAAAGTTAAAATTTTCTAACGGCGAAGACCAGGAACCCTTGTCGAAGCCTGGATCCTCAGTGGCCAGGTCAACGTTCTACATTGTCGGAAGTTACCAGACGCAGTACCAGCTGATAATCCTTCTTACCTTAGTGATGAAACAATGGATTCCCCTTCAATCACGTAACGTTGCGAATGCCAAATAAAATAGAAGTTTCAAAGTCATCATGCAATACCGATGTCATGTCCGCGAGTTCCTGTGCTCACAAAAAAAAATGGAAAAAAAATTGAATACATCAATTTGATGTAAACATGTCATAAAATCGTCTCAATGTGATTCAGTCTGATCTTGCTACTTGTAAATGTCAATGCCAATAATCATACTCTTTGTCAACTCTTGCGTAAACAAAATACTGGTTTCATTCTCAACGGTCACCGTCCACACTCTATTTCTGACCTCTCAGTATCAGTGTATGTCGCGAGTTTAAATGTCCGTCTAGAACGTCAACTTCTTCAACCTGTTTCAATGTCGTTATTATCGCAAGTATAAGAAAAGTCCAAACTCCGATTCTGAATAACAACCGCTTACGTGAGAACAGTCCCAGAATGCCATTTTGTGATGTCGACACTCAACTTCGGTATTGATCGTAGTAAAACCAACAAAAAATACTTAGGTTGAAAGTCTGCGTCTTGCACTCGAAGACAAACTGGCATCTCCACATAATGAAACGCTCAGACTGAAAGCGTTGCACTGAAGCAGTTTGTCACATTCTAGCTTCAGTATAACCCCGTCTGCATGGATACATTAACCTACTAGCTATTTCCGTGTACAAGATTCATTCTCAACAGCATAATCCTTTGGTACCGAAACCTATACGCACTTTCTAGCCAGTACGACGGGTCATCCGTCAATACATCCAATCTTTACAGAACTATTTCTGTTTCGTACAACATTTTCATTTGCTCTCGACGACATGCTTTATCCAAGACTTCACAAAGTTCAATTAGTGATACCTGGATACGTCTATCTAAACCACTGATCACAATAATGTCTCAATTTCTTGCCAGTATGTTAAAGGATTAACGGTTTAATATATTGAAAAGGCAATAGGTCGGAATGTTGAGAGGAAAAACCGCGCTTATACTTGTATGTTTTGATGAAAAAACACGTTGTTCTAAAGAGATAGGTAGACAACTTTCTAATAAAGATTCCTGGACATGACCGACATGCTAAGAAACTAAGGGCAATACTTCTTTGAAATAGTCCAATCAAAATGCTGTTAATGAAATCACAATGTCATGCTTTGGTAATATTCCTACAAAGTTTCTATGAAAGTGGCAGAAGAATGACGGAGATATTGGTACAAAAAATGAAATGCTAGGATATCGAAGGGCAATAACTCATCCCAAAATTGTTGAATCGCACAATCGTTTAGGAAAACACTATTTCAGGTCATAATGCCTACTATGTTTGAAATACGTTTGAAACTGTCGTACAGATAAACAAATTTGTGTCCCTGTAAGTATGTCTACGAAGTTAGAACAATATCTATTGAAAACTAAAAGCCCTCAGAACGTGATTGGCATTTCGAAGAAAGGGAGGAAACTCTTTCAAATGCAGTCGAATCAAACTGTGCAGGAAAATACTTCATGTCATGGTGATTTAGTCTACAAATATTTTAAAAGATCGGTTGAATCAACTATGGAAGATCTCCAGACATATTAATGGTGATGTTATAAACCAATTTTCGTCAAAAACTCTTCATCCTGTATGGAAAGAGGATTTTTGAAGACTAACCTGAATTTTCTCCTTTAGACTAATTTCCTTACCAGTAACTGGCTTATAAATTTATGTCAAAATCCCTTCACTCTGTATGGAAGCGGAAGGATCTTTGAAGATTAACCTAAATTTTCTCATTCTGACTCATTTCCTTGCCAGTATCTGACTTATAAAATTAATTTATATTGGGTCAAATTACTCTTGCACCTAATCTTTTATAGAACAGAGACAAAAAAATATTCCAGCTTGTTCAAAAACCACTCAACGGTCTTGTCCAGGTAGCTATTGCAAGAATAAGACCAAGGAGAGAGGATGGAAGTTACGCTTTAGCATACTCTCAATATATCTAAATGTGAGCTGCAACAACAAGGATGTAGTCTCACCACATCACTTCCAGATAATGTAAACCATATGATGACCTTTCAACCTATTGTTTTTCTTTCGCATAAGATCATACAGGTACAAATCATCATACCTTTTCTCATTCATTAAGGGACATCTCTCAAATAAGTCATACACTAATTCAAGGGTTGGTACATATAAGACAACACATGGTTGAGACTTGCTCTCTCCTGAGTAGCTACAGGCATAACCCTGTCGAGACAACTCTCTCCTGAAAAGCTATAGGCATTACACTGTAGAGACAACTCTCTCCGGAGTGGCTACAGCCATTACACTGTCAAGACATACTCTCTTCTGAGTGGCTACAGGCATCACATTGTCGAGACAACTCTCTCTTGAGTGGCTACAGGCATTACACTGTAGAGACAACTCTCTCCTGAGTGGCTACAGGCATTACACTGTCAAGACATACTCTCTCCTGAGTAGCTACAGGCATAACCCTGTCAAGACAACTCTCTCTTGAAAAGCTACAGGCATTACACTGTCGAGACAACTCTCTCTGGAGTGGCTACAGGCATTACACTGTCAAGACACACTCTCTTCTGAGTGGCTACAGGCATCACATTGTCGAGACAACTCTCTTGAGTGGCTACAGGCATTACACTATCAAGACATACTCTCTTCTGAGTGGCTACAGGCATTACACCGTCAAAACATACTCTCTTCTGAGTAGCTACAGCCATTACACTTGTCAAGACAACTCTCTCCTGAAAAGCTACAGGCATTACACTGTAGAGACAACTCTCTCTTGAGTGGCTACAGGCATTACACTGTCAAGACATACTCTCTTCTGAGTGGCTACAGGCATCACATTGTCGAGACATACTCTCTCCTGAGTGGCTACAGGCATCACATTGTCGAGACATACTCTCGCCTGAGTAGATACAGACAGTACACAGAGTATCGTGATATTCTATCCTCCAAGTACATCTCTTCAGAGTATATACAGACAGCACACCAAGTGTCGAGATATGTTATCTTCCAAGTACATACTAGCAGCACACTGTTGATACATGTTCTCTCCTGAGTAGATACAGGCATCACACTGTCCAAACATATTCTCTCATTGGGTGCAAAGGTACACACAACAAAACGCTGCTCATTTCTCACCAACATGGTATTATATATATCCACATGCATACAACATACATGTACTATCACAAGACTCACAACAGAAATTACAACTAAATAACACGCTTTTATAAAATTGATTCTTCCTGGCACAGAAATATACTGTAGTCTCAGCTATTTTTGTGAAAGTCATTGACTCATTTGAATGTTCTTCTCACTCCAAAATGCTATCACTGCTATAGGTACAAAAATGCTCATCATCGATTATATAGTTAAAATGAAATATACAAATTATTCCCTAAAAAAATACCAAGTTCAATCAATCTACGGCCAGTCTAACACACTTTTGATCATACTAGTCTACACACACGGAATGATAACCGTCGTTCACAGGCAATTATTGAGAAAACACATGACTCAACTATGTCTGCTCAATGTTCTTGTGTACGATATGTTCTTGGTCATTCAGTCGGCTATTTGCCTCACTCTCATGGTTACTAGTTATCCTCATCTCACTGCTGCCCAGCTCGCTCTGTCTGCAGAATGATCCCGTGCAATCGGTTTTTTCTCTATCTTCACACTGCTGTCTGAATTTATCTCCTGTACCCTCTCAACCCGATATACTGAAATTGCCTAAAAGCTCTCAACCCCAAAAATGATATCATGATCCTTCAGCTCTCAAACTAGATATAATATAACTACACTCGAACACTCAAGTTCAACCAAGCAAAAAGCAGTCTCAATACTTGCCTTCATGCTCATAACACTACTTGATTTTGATGCTGAGGAAAACACTGCTTCACAGCAAAGAAAACTTATCCCTCACTCCCTAAAACAATGAGGGGAATGTGTACCAATTTCTATTCCCAATAGATTTTAACCAAAATGTAAACATTAATTTTTGCACAATGAAATCTTTTCCAGAAATGTTACACTACAAAAATCTTGATGCCTTGATGAGATGAATTTGATGAAGATGGAATCTGTGATGATAATGGTGAGAGTATTGTGAAAACCTTCCTAAGCCTTAAAGTATCACCCTTTAAAATGGTCACCCCTCATCCACCCCATTTTCTCTCATTTCCTCATTAGTTCCACCTGTTCTGTCCACTCCAGTTACTGCTATAACCCCCACTGTTGCCCCCACTATTTCCACCGCTGGCTGAACCACTCCCACTGTTGTTACCATCAAACTGTGATCCTCCTGATCCTCCAGACCCAGACCCTGCTCCCCAACTGCTGAATGACCTTTGATTATTTCCACTGTCAGGACGTGGTGTGTTATTGAATGGCTGTCCCATTGATGGCTCTGTGTTTCCACTATTGTTCTGTCCTCCCATTCCCAGTGGTCCCCAACCTCCTTGTCCACTCAAGACTGCCTGTGCAGCTGCCATCATATTCAGGAAATTCATCCCCATGTTGTCATTTCCATCTCCTCCTCCAGGATTTCCTTGAGGTCGGTTTCCTCTCTGACCCCATCCTTGCCCTCCTCCACCTCCCTGGGGCATCCCCATTCCCATCCCCATGTTTCCCATACCCATTCCACCACCCCGTCCAAAGTCATTGCCACGGAAGCCCCCCTGACGATCCCCACCCATTTTGCTGTTGGTTTTTGGTGCAGCACTGCTTAAGTGGACACTACATCCACAAATAATATGGTCTTCTCCACAAAGACTCTGTGCCACCAGTGCATCCTGGAACGTCACAAAGGCAAATGATCGGAAGGGTCGTGGGATGAAAACATCTGTTACTTCACCAAACTTGGAGAAATATGTCCTCAAGTCGTCTACTGTGATCTTTTCTGAGCATCGGGCAACAAATATTTTACTATTCAAAGCCCTCTGTGCAGTTTCCTGTAAATAAAGAAGAGATGATTGTTAACATCAAGAAATCAAATCCAAGAAACATAACCTTAATATTGTCTGATCAGACAAATAGTTCTTTCACACAGACATATTTCAATCTGATCACATTTTGTAACAGCCATGAATCTATCATTTGCAACAAATAATTTGACAATTTTCAGGTGTACAGCATCACACAAGTCTTCACAGTATCAGCCATGGTCATTCCTGTAAATTATCCACTTGACCCTTAGGACTCCAAAATAAATAATTTCCATCCATGGTTCAGCTATCTACCTTTTACTTCCTTGCAAATTACCTTCTGTAGGTCGTACCCCTTAATGAAAGCTTGAGGTCCTGAGAGAAGATACTTAAATTTACTGGAACAACCTTTAGATCACTATCTAGTTTAAACACTAAATGAATATGGACCTTTGGACAATTCATGAGCAAGACACAGTCATGATTAATATCATTAGTCCAGTACTAATCACCAAGATCATCTAAATATCACTTTACTTCTCACTTAACTTGTTTTCAATAGAATTTTAACCTTTCTACATAACAATATTGAAAAAGTAAGAGATAGACCCCCTTCTCTTGTGCTATTTCTGCAATTAAAATCAGGGGTGTACAATTACATAGAGTACAGGAAATAGACATAATCTCTTGTTGGATTTGAAATATATCATATTAGCAAGCACATATTTCCATAAATGCTGGTGAAATTTATTTTATACTGAAGTTAAAATCTACTAATCTGATCATCCTGCAAGTGGAATTGTACACCCCTGGAAATCAGACCCCATTTACATGAACATTCCTCAACTTAGTTATCCTTTTTTCATTTTTCATTTTAAAAATTTGCTATTGGAAATAAGACAAAAGGAAGGTAGGCAATTTATTTGTTAATCTTCGAGTTTCAGAGCATTCATCAAAATGGGGTCAGATGTGGTCACTTTTCTTACACTAGCACTGACGTTGGAGTTAGGGATGTTGACATCGCACCATCGACCCATGATCATGTGGCGTTGCTGTAGACATTTCAGCTGATCCTTGTAGCTACTGAAACGGATAAAGCCAAACCCTTTGGAATTGCCTTTGCCATCACGTTTCACCTGAAACATAATTTGCAAGAAATTATTCATTTTATTCTAGTTATAAGTAAAATGACAATTTTTAACCAGCATCAGAAATCACATAAACAATAATGTAATCACTACATATTTTTCAGTATATTTTATTTGAAACAGTTGTATGATTTTTTTATCCACAAATGATTATCCAAATGAAAGTGCTTAATCAAGATATCAAGTACCTGAGCTAAAACAACTTCACCAATGTTGTCAGTGAAGTAAGCTTTAACATCTTCTTCTGTTGCTTTCCAAGGCAGGCCCAGGACAATCAGGTCACTGCAGACATTTCTAGTCTCGACTCGTTTCGTCTTTATAACAGGATTCTCCATGTCATCCCCCTTCCGTTTATTATCTGCAAAGACAAAATTCATGAAATTATTGATATTAAATTATTTTTGTTGCATGCTTAACAGCCCGTCAACACATAAAAAGTCATTAGGGCCATCAACCGGTAAAACATGATATGAACTTTGATGCAACAAGACAAGTTGCATAATGCTTTGCATGAGCTCTGGCTTAGTGTAAAATACTAGCAAAAATAGATGGCACAGTCATATAAGGAGACATATATAGCAAAATAAATATTACAGAATGCTTTCTCAAAGCTAGTTTTTTTTATCAGCAATCCATTTAATTCCTGGTAATATCAATACATTTTATATCAGGGATATAGTTCATATACACACAACCGAATTCAATAGTGGCAACCATGCCCCTGTTAAATAGACTAACACATTTTTCACCGTACGTATGTTTATTTAGTGCAACTTTTTGTCGAAGGGGGGAGAATTTCCTATTGATTTAGAATTATCTCTCTTGCATTACACTACCAAATTCGGTTTTCTCTGTAACTGATGAAATGGCCGAACACGTCTAAATATCTAGTATTGTACAAGTAATGTATTTGGATTGAATATCCAGTTATTCTATTTGTAAACACTAGCTGATCACTTCTCACTGTACCTACCACCCAAACTTTGGATATGGTGAATTTGGTTCTCCGTTTCTTGGATTTCAGACTGTGAAGAGTTTGGTCGAGGAAACACAACAATGTATGTGTCGTTTCCCCATGCCGAGTCTGGTGGATGCAACTTTCCATCAATCAGTCGGACTCCACGGAAATTGCCTGTAGCCGGGTTCCTGAATTTAAGACCACATGCCCCTGGAAATTGAGCCGCAAGTGTTGATAATAGCAGTGTTCCGTCTTCCTCGCTTGGTATCTCAACAGCCTCGTCGCTTTCATTTTCAGATACGCTAATATAATCACTCATAACTGGGGTATCTTCCATTTTGAAGGTAAAATCGTCGGCGAAATTGGGTATCGGAAACAATGGCGTCGGGCTTGCTTGCGTCGGAAACACGCGAGTGACGCGGATGTAATATGTTGTTCAGCGCCACCTATGTAAAGGAAGGTCGTCTCAAAAGGCAACTACCACTGCATTCCTTATCTGCTGTATCCGTGAATTCTTTTACTCAAACGTATCCGTGGATTTATTTTTTCGAACAATTCTGTTGTTTCACCGGTCATTTTTTTAATAAGTAAACCTTCTCATATGAACGCTTTTTAATTCAATGATGCATTTGTTTGGTTGTAGTTAGCGAGATAATATTAAATATTACGGGGTCCAAAACTAATGCGCTAAGGATATATTAAACTATATGTCTATTAATCTATGTACACCTTCTTTATCAAATTGTACTCGTTTTAAGTCAGTGCCGATTTAATATCGGAATGAATAACATCTTTTACAGTGTCATGAATGATTTATTAGAATTAGAAAAAAAAAAGTCTACTGTGAAACACCAACCTTAATTTGAAGATATCATTCAAACTTCAATTCTATACAGTATACAGAGAAGACTCTTGTGATTACAGATACTGCAGAATGATTGACAGGACGACAGGAGGGAACGATTTTACATATTCATTCAAAATATTTGGCTACAGATTCCTTCACAGAGTATCTACAGATCACTTCACAGAGTATCTACAGATTCCTTCACAGGGTATCTACAGATCACTTCACAGAGTATCTACAGATTCCTTCACAGAGTATCTACAGATCACTTCACAGAGTATCTACAGATCACTTCACAGGGTATCTACGGATCACTTCACGGAGTATCTACAGATTCCTTCACAGGGTATCTACGGATCACTTCACAGGGTATCTACAGATTCCTTCACAGAGTATCTACAGATCGCTTCACAGGGTATCTACAGATCACTTCACAGAGTATCTACAGATTCCTTCACGGAGTATCTACAGATCGCTTCACAGGGTATCTACGGATCACTTCACAGAGTATCTACAGATCACTTCACAGAGTATCTACAGATCACTTCACAGAGTATCTACAGATCGCTTCACAGGGTATCTACAGATCACTTCACAGAGTATCTACAGATTCCTTCACAGGGTATCTACGGATCACTTCACAGAGTATCTACAGATTCATTCACAGAGTATCTACAGATCGCTTCACAGTGTATATACAGATTACTTCACAGAGTATCTACAGATTCATTCACAGAGTATCTACAGATCACTTCACAGAGTATATACAGATTACTTCACAGAGTATCTACAGATTCATTCACAGAGTATATACAGATCACTTCACAGAGTATCTACAGATTACTTCACAGAGTATCTACAGATTCATTCACAGAGTATCTACAGATTCCTTCACAGAGTATCTACAGATCACTTCACAGAGTATCTACAGATTACTTCACAGAGTATCTACAGATTCATTCACAGAGTATCTACAGATTCATTCACAGAGTATCTATCTACAGATTCAGATTCACTTCACAGAGTATCTACAGATCACTTCACAGAGTATCTACAGATTACTTCACAGAGTATCTACAGATTCCTTCACAGAGTATCTACAGATCACTTCACAGAGTATCTACAGATTACTTCACAGAGTATCTACAGATCACTTCACAGAGTATCTACAGATTACTTCACAGAGTATCTACAGATTCATTCACAGAGTATCTACAGATCACTTCACAAAGTATCTACAGATTACTTCACGGAGTATCTACAGATTCATTCACAGAGTATCACTTCACAGAGTATCTATACCTTCACAGAGTATCTACATATACATTCACAGAGTATCTAAAGAGAACTTAACAGAGAAACTAAGAAAAACCTTCACAGAGTATCTACAGATCGCTTCACAGAGTATCTACAGATCGCTTCACAGAGTATCTACAGATCGCTTCACAGGGTATCTACAGATCGCTTCACAGGGTATCTACGGATCGCTTCACAGAGTATCTACAGATCGCTTCACAGAGTATCTACAGATCGTCACAGGTATCAGATCCTTCACAGTATCTACAGATTCACTTCACAGATTCCTTCACAGTATCTACAGATCGCTTCACAGAGTATCTACAGATCGCTTCACAGAGTATCTACAGATCGCTTCACAGGGTATCTACGGATCGCTTCACAGGGTATCTACAGATCGCTTCACAGAGTATCTACAGATTCCTTCACAGAGTATCTACAGATCACTTCACAAAGTATCTACAGATTACTTCACAGATCTACAGATACCATCTCAGAGAATCTTCACAGAGTATCTACAGATACCTTCACAGAGTATCCATAGATCACTTCACAGAGTATCTATAGATCACTTCACAGAGTATCTACAGATTCATTCACAGAGTATCTACAGATCACTTCACAAAGTATCTACAGATTACTTCACGGAGTATCTACAGATTCCTTCACAGAGTATCTACAGATCACTTCACAGAGTATCTACAGATCACTTCACAGAGTATCTACAGATTCATTCACAGAGTATCTACAGATCACTTCACAAAGTATCTACAGATTACTTCACGGAGTATCTACAGATTCCTTCTCAGAGTATCTACGTATACCTTCACAGAGTATCTACAGATCACTTCACAGAGTATCTACAGATCACTTCACAGAGTATCTACAGATCACTTCACAGAGTATCTACAGATTCATTCACACTTCACAAAGTATCTACAGATCACTTCACAGAGTATCTACAGATCACTTCACAGAGTATCTACAGATTCCTTCACAGAGTATCTACAGATCACTTCACAGAGTATCTATAGATCACTTCACAGAGTATCTACAGATTCCTTCACAGAGTATCTACAGATTCATTCACAGAGTATCTACAGATCACTTCACAGAGTATCTACAGATCACTTCACAGAGTATCTACAGATCACTTCACAGAGTATCTACAGATTCCTTCACAGAGTATCTACAGATCGCTTCACAGGGTAACTACGGATCACTTCACAGAGTATCTACAGATCACTTCACAGAGTATCTACAGATTCCTTCACAGAGTATCTACAGATACCTTCACAGAGTATCTATAGATCACTTCACAGAGTATCTACAGATTCCTTCACAGAGTATCTACAGATCACTTCACAGAGTATCTACAGATCACTTCAAAGAGTATCTACAGATTCATTCACAGAGTATCTACAGATCACTTCACAAAGTATCTACAGATTACTTCACGGAGTATCTACATATTCCTTCACAGAGTATCTACAGATCACTTCACAGAGTATCTACAGATCACTTCAAAGAGTATCTACAGATCACTTCACAGAGTATCTACAGATCGCTTCACAGGATATCTACGGATCACTTCACAGAGTATCTACAGATTCCTTCACAGAGTATCTACATCTTCATTCACAGAGTATCTACATATTCCTTCACAGAGTATCTACAGATTACTTCACAGAGTATCTACAGATTCATTCACAGAGTATCTACAGATACCTTCACAGAGTATCTACAGATTCATTCACAGAGTATCTACAGATTCATTCACAGAGTATCTACAGATCACTTCACAAAGTATCTACAGATTACTTCACAGAGTATCTACAGATTCCTTCACAGAGTATCTACAGATACCTTCACAGAGTATCTACAGATTCCTTCACAGAGTATCTACAGATCACTTCACAGAGTATCTACAGATCACTTCACAGAGTATCTACAGATTACTTCACAGGGTATCTATAGATCACTTCACAGAGTATCTACAGATCGCTTCACAGGGTATCTACGGATCACTTCACAGAGTATCTACAGATTCCTTCACAGAGTATCTACATCTTCATTCACAGAGTATCTACAGATTCCTTCACAGAGTATCTACAGATCACTTCACAGAGTATCTACAGATTCCTTCACAGAGTATCTACAGATTACTTCACGGAGTATCTACAGATTCCTTCTCAGAGTATCTACGTATACCTTCACAGAGTATCTACAGATCACTTCACAGAGTATCTACAGATTCATTCACAGAGTATCTACAGATCACTTCACAAAGTATCTACAGATTACTTCACAGAGTATCTACATCTTCATTCACAGAGTATCTACAGATTCCTTCACAGAGTATCTACAGCTTTCATAGAGTATCTACAGATTCCTTCACAGAGTATCTACAGACTTTTTCACGCAATATATTACAGCTTCCTTGAGTTTTCATGGATTTATACAATATCAATATCTTTAAAACAATCAAGGTTTAGAAATATGAGGAAACATGCTAGCGGCACGAAGAAATAATAATATAATAATAATATTTAATTTTATTTCCGTGTCACACATTTTTACACAATACATACAGTTTCTTTAAAATATATTCCATCATAGTAAAAATGCCCAGCCATTAATTGGCTTATGAGACACTATTATATACATAAAATATACAGTTATACTTAGAACGGTTATCCATTATTTAAAAGTGACCGCCTTCTCCTCATCGCTAAGAATACATATTTTCCAAGATTAATTTGTAAAACATCACAATTCATTAAAACGATAAATTGATTTTCTGCACGCATGGTTTTAAAATTATCACATTAAACATTAGCCCTATCGAAAATTAAATTTTCCCTTCAATCACAATGTATTTTTCCTGATTTTGAAAATATTTCATCTGGCGATATCCACATAATTATATCGCAGTATTAACAAGACGTTGAGCTGTAACCATTAAATATTTAGGTAAGCAATGATGTAAATTATATTGTGTTTTGATTAATTCAGTGTTGAGATTACTCGCCTTTCACCTAGCCGCCCTGGGTTCGATTCCCTAAACAGATGTGAAAAGGTAAAGGAGTCACTTGCCCGACCACGTGGGTTTTTCCCAGGTACTCTGGCTTCCTCCCACAATAAGACACCTCCCGCACTTACATCTGTGCCAACAAGAGTGGTTAGTATTAGATGAAATATCTTGTTTTGCAATTGTTATAAAATAAACAAAGTTTTGTTTTAAATTGATTAGTAATTGATTAGTTTCAAAAACTGATCAATGAGATAGAACATTATAATTTTGCTATAGTTATTTGATATATAGATAAAAATGATAATCAAAAACATTCTCAGCTAAGTACATACTTAGGCTGACGCCAGATAATTGAGTCACTGTCTACAGATCATTTGCCAAGGTCGCCAGATAATTGATAATTAAATGTATTTCCATATGTGACCCATATACGCTCCCGTGAGAATAACATCCTTTATATCTGCAGCTATTATGTTTACATTGGTAAAATACCGCTAAATTCTTCAACAGTAGTATGGAAATTAGCAATAAATAAATAAACAAGCTTTTTGAAAATCGTCTGTGACTTCAGTTTCAGGATAAATGATTTTGCCAGAGTTCAACAATAATGAATTAACAGTTTTCCGCCAGTCTTCTATAATAAGACTAGAGTTTTTTTTTAAGTTTTCATGTTTACACAATTAATACAAATATGACAGAGTGGTGCTTTCTATGCGTATAATTTTTCAAATGAGGCTACATATTTCATTTGATATCCTGGGAGGTTCATTAGATATGACGGTTATTAAGCAGTCACTACTTAGAACGTTGCATTCCATTTGAATACAACTTTCTTTGGAAATCCTCATCTTATAGTAGATCTTAATTCAAATATCATCAGCTGTGTACTGTCCTTCATCAAGTCTAGTTACAGTTTGTTTTTTTATTATTATTTTAACAGTAATGTTTTTGTAGATAAATGCTTGTTTCCGTGATAGTAAAGGTTTTCCGTTTATAAAATGTGTTGGAAGAAGGTGTATATAAGTTGTAATAACTTCCTTGTCTTAAGCTTGGCAATTAATATGCTTAAATCAAACATATATACACTTTTAAACAGCTGAACTTGATCCAGTGTGAGTTGTGGGGAGGGCAACGTTTTTTTTTTTTTTTTTTTTTGACAACTTTGGATTTTCCTAGAAGGACGGAACAGCTGTATGATGTAACATCACTGACGAGTCCTAGAAGGACGAAACAGATGTATGATGTAGAATCACTGACGAGTCCTAGAAGGACGAAACAGATGTATGATGTAGAATCACTAACGAGTCCTAGAAGGACGAAACAGATGTATGATGTAGAATCGCTAACGAGTCCTAGAAGGACGAAACAGATGTATGATGTAGAATCACTAACAAGTCCTAGAAGGACGAAACAGATGTATGATGTAGAATCACTAACGAGTCCTAGAAGGACGGAACAGCTGTATGATGTAGCATCACTGACGAGTCCTAGAAGGACGAAACAGATGTATGATGTAGAATCACTAACGAGTCCTAGAAGGACGGAACAGCTGTATGATGTAGCATCACTGACGAGTCCTAGAAGGACGGAACAGCTGTATGATGTAGAATCACTGACGAGTTCTATAAGGACGGAACAGCTGTATGATGTAGCATCACTGACGAGTCCTAGAAGGACGGAACAGCTGTATGATGCATTTAAATTAATGGCTTGGCTCTGCTGTATCTAACTAAAATTTGTATCAAAACGTGCCATTTACTTCCGTGTCTTCTGCACAATCTTTGTATTTGTTTGAATCTTCAATAACTAATATGATTATAGAAGAAATGCAATAGAGCAGAAAAAAACACACATTCCACGTACTTTGTTAACATTTATTTATTTAACACGTTATAACACTGGAATGTTAGTTATATACGATGTTACTAAAGATATAGATGAGATGTAACGGGCTTAACAGGTATTCTATATTTGAGCAAATTCAATGTAGCACATGAGGAGTAAACACAGCAAAAATGTCCAAGATGTACTAAATAAAAAAAACCCACAATTGTCTGTTGTCTTGTCCTGATTACCTGTGTATCATATTTATTACAGGTAAATCGATAGTCATTAGGGGAGGTGAGGTGCAGCTGTAGATCAATTTCTCAATGCCTTTATTTGGACATGTACTGCTTTCTATATACCTAACCAATGTCAGGTGGGCGTGCATAAGAATGAACGTGTTCGTCTAAATGGGAAACTCCAGAAAAACAAATTTCAACACTGCAGGTCATTTTGACGGACTACAAGTTCACACAGATTTTTACAAGTTCTACAAAACAAGACAATTTAGAGGAAGCCTATTTCAAAGACTGAAAACACATAAAGCTACAAAAAGTGAAATCTATCGACCAAACGATATCGGACAGAACAATGAACTAATTTAAACACATCCTAATCCAGTAGAGCCCATACATGCAATGTACATGTATATTGATCCATAGGGCCTCAATATATATTTTTCTCGCATGTGGGACCCACTTTGACTGAACTTTTCATGGAACTTAAAGCTAATGCACAATATATACTCCGCTACTTCTGCATTGATAGATTAAATCGTTGTGTTGTATGTTTTCAGCTGTACCTCTTACACGTGGAGTACGGATCGTTAATGTTACATACGGGATTTCTCGATGCTGATGGAAATATACGTGCTTTTTTTTTTTTACATAGAATTGTTTTTATTCTAAACATGTGTGGGTTATCTGGTCGTTAAGATTTTTTTGTGCTTGCATGGACTAGGATAAAATGACGACGGCACACAAAATGACACATATGTAAAGTTAATTGAATCCTAATGAGAGATAGAAGACAATGTCTTGGTTTTTAATCGATGGGCTTTAGACATGTTGAAATACATGTTCATTTATCACATTTTGTTTTCTTAATATCCTTTCCTCCGCTTGATGTTATTGCACACGCAGAAAATACTTCTCAGCAGAGATGGAAACTCACTTTTCAGACAATTTTCATTGGTTTTTCCTCGAGAACGGATTAAGAAAAGCATTTAGATATATAGAATACACTTTACATGTAACATCGTGCGCACTTATATAAAGTATTGTTACATACTCTATGAGCACTCTAGATTGCATAATGGTAAGTTAGAATTGACCAACACTCCAACTATAGCGTTAAAATATCATTTTGATCAGATATTAATAATGAGTCTATAAATAATATAGATATCCCGTCCTTGATATTGAAAGTTGTCACGTGGTGTATCGAGGTCTAAGCGAGGGAAATGTTTACAATATATCGTCAGCATCCGGTGCCGTAATTAGCTCCACCTGCTTTTACAACTTCGTCTTTTATTCTGTCAATTTTCAGTTCAAGTTTCTCGCTGGTTAGTATTTCTACAGCAAAGCTCTGTAAAGTAAAAAAACGTTATATAATACAGCAGAGGCGTAAAGCTAGAGTATTTGACATAACATTTTCGTCCAGATAGTTTACCCCCATTGTTTACGTTTTCGAAATATGAAATAAAACAATAGCCATTGAAATATTGATATTATTCATTTCAACATGTTAAATTATGAAGGATATATACTATTTACAACAGGTGTCACTTACCTTGAATACTTCCTTCACCTTAGATTTGTCAGTGCTACACCTTGCTCTCTTTAGAGCCCCAACACCTGACCCTATAAACGTGACTAGTGCGAACTTTTTGCGTTTGCTCATTTCGTCTCCAGTCTCAACCCTGACGAATGCAAAACCCCTTTCGTTATCTGCGAAGGAAATAGATGTCTAGATATTAGTTACAGCCAGTGATAAACCACTTAATATTTTTGCATTAACCATATATTTATTTATGCTATTATCTAGGTTTAAATTAAACTGAAGTGGCCCCTCACCCCGGCACTGCCAGAGGTTACGACCATTCAATACTCTGGACTCACAAGTCAATAACTTTGACCTTTTGTATTGCCTCCTGTGGCACACCGGAAGTTCTCGGAAGACGTGCATGCAAGGAAAGAAGTTTTCATACACGCTTCTCCAAATGTTAAATTATCTATTAATTTTAACTAAAAGCGAAAACGTTACATTTTCTTTTTTCAAAAGATTTGAATCACCCCACATGCGCATTAAAGGGATATCCTGCAGAAGTTGGCAACTTTCTGGTTGTTTTGTACCTTTTTAGAATTCTTGTTGTAAGGATTTTTAAAACTTTTGTCGGCAACAGAATGCTTTCCCAAGGTCAGTTTGGTAAGGCGAAATTTGTGGAATTCTGCCTGCCAATGTAGAATTTTACTGTCTCAACTTAGCAAATTGGGGCATCTAGAACTCGGTCAATTAACAGAAGGAACGAACCAGTTTTATAGACTTGGGTTGACAACCAAATTTTCAAAGTGTTCTTAGTTAAGTGTGTATATGTACATTTGTTACATATCATTCATTTTTGCTAAGTTAGTCCTTCGTTCTACTTTCAAAGTTTTGAAGTTTTCCGTTCAAGTATTTTCCGTCTGTTGTAGCAGTTACATATGGAGGTTTCCTGTCCGGGGAATGTTTCGTGTGTGTACCGAGATAATGCATGAGCGGAAGTCAAAACCAGTTCGCATTAATATGAAAAGCATTCTGGAATAAACATCATGATACGCATTATCACCCAGCTGTCTCTTGCTCTAGGTCTATTATTATTTCTTTTAGAAATGAAATTAGAAATTAAGACTTTGTAATATTCACGTAATTCGAATAATTTCGTTGGTTTTTCTTGTTCTGCAAAGTAAGTTTTTCATCCGAACGATAATGTACAGTTAAAGGATTTCAAGCCTCAGCGATGATTGGAATCTTAATTACCATCCACCACTTTCTAAACCACATATTCCAACTTTTTCTTGAAAGGGTCTGTATTGCTCAGCTAAGTATTTGATTTTTACACTATTATTTACGCCCATATTAAGTTTTTCCTCAAAAGATGAGGAATTTAAAAGCTTCATACATACATTTGGTGAATTCATCTAATTCCTATTTTTACTCCTGTCCTTTTGCCCCAAGGTCGAAATTGGTAAGACCGTTTATGCGAAACTGAGTCCCCTTCACCCCAAGATATTTCAGATCGAGTTTGGACAAAATCTCGTCATTATTACAGAAGAACAAGGATTGTTGAAACATTTGATGTATGCCCGTATTGGGCTCGTCAGACCTCTGACGGGTCAGACCCACAATTTAAATAAATTATTTACCCCTTTTCTCTCAAGGATGCTTCAGAGCAAATTTGGTCAAAACCTCACATCTCTGTCGAAAAGGTGGTGGGGGGAGGTTAGACTCAACATTTATACTAAGTCTTCTTCACAAACTTCACATTAAATTTGGACAAATTCCTTCAATGTTGACTGAATTTAAATAATTCAGCCCAACGATACAAAATTGATTTAAATGTTATGCGTCTTATTTCCCATGCTGTGCCCTGTTCTCTGACATCCCCCACCCCTATCCCCCGATTCCCCAATCATCCCCTCTCAAGGTGGGAGCAAACCCACGATTGATATTGGCTGAGAACCCTTCACTCAGAAAGTATGCTTAAGACCAGATCTACATAAAATTACATCATGCCTACTATGGAAGAAGAATTTCTATCGAATTTCCTAACCCAGACCAACCTCTCATATAAGATTACTTCCCTACTACCAAGAATGCTTTTGAGAATATATGGTCGAAATCCACTAAGTTGATCATAACAATAGCGAATTTTAGTAAAACAAAAAACGGGAAAAAACCAGAAAAACAAAAGAACAAAAACTCAATGGACGTAGGACGGAAATCGTGGGTTTATGATTATTCGCGATCTCCGAGACTGTATTGACCCATATATCAAATGTGGTTTTGTTTTCACATCCCATGAATATTAAAATATTGTTCAAACTAACTGTGTTTTGGGTTGAGGTGTAGAATTTTTAAAGTGATACATAAAAAAAACTAAAGCCAGACGTCTCATTGACGAAGAGCGGTAAAGCTATAAAACAACAAAAACCACTTTCCTTGGCTTCCACTTGTACAAACGTATCATCATTCACGCGGAGATTTCAGTTTACACTAGGCATGTTACTGGTTAAAACTTCTCGTCCGCTTACGAGGTCAAATGCGGTAATGTGTCTGCTTAAGAGTTGATGTACATAATGCACACTTGCATTTTCATACTGCAATCAGTCTTTTAATCTTCAATTACACATCACTAGATAAATATCAGCTCTGGACACTATCAAAAATACAATTGATAAATTTGTTTTCTATGTGAACGCTCCACTTACAACAGGTAATCACAAATATATTTATTGTCCTAAAATATTTTTAGAGTCACCAATTAAACGATGATTTATTTACAATCTTGCATGGTACAAACTAAACCCGTCAACCGCTGAGATACCGCAGGCTTAATGTATTATACAAAATAAGTAATTAGACTGAAGACTTCTCGCCAACACACCCACAAACCCTGTTGGATCGTTTTCTTAAGATCATACTGGGATTTATGATCGTATGTGTATAACCTGGTCAGAGGTAATTGCATCTTTAGGTCAAAGGTTTAAGGTTATGTTATATCGATTTGATCGAGAGGGGTCATCACGAAAGACGACAACACCGCATTCAGGTAGAGTGAGACAGCCCGCATTGTTCTCCCTCACTCACAGCTAATGTGGTGACGTCATAAAGCGCTGTAAGGTATTACTAAGCTCAATAAAAATGTTGAAATCACCCGCTAAACGACCCCTCATTAGTGACCCTGAGGTCACCGTAACGTTTGTCTTCCTGTCTGTTTCGATTTATTTCCTAATAAGGCTATCATTACGTATACACGCGTGTGTAGTAAACTGCACTCTATCAGCACAGGATGCCATTATCAGAGCCTCGTGACACGTCGCATACATCACCGAGGAAGACTTACAACAACAGAATTTTCTTTTAATTGTCTGCTTACTATCAGAGTTAAAAAGACAATAAGGATATATTTCACTCAAATAGGGTTACTACAATACATAAATGAGGAATCATTTCAAATGTACACACGATGTACTGCGCCAGGTTCTTAGTCTCTGTACAGAACGTAAATTGCACATCCTGAAGTACAAATACCAAACAAAAATATTTCATTTGAGTGCCACACCTCACAATACATTTAAAATACCACAAAATAACAAACACTGTTGTATCCGACTTATGACACGCTGTGCAAAATCTATTGCTAAAACATCCTACTTATAGAAATTTCCCAACTTACTTTTTCATTTGTAACAAAATTCAAATTAACCATGTTGTATACAATTATATATGTATATATTAGTCAAAATGATCTACAGCTCGCAATCAGACAATTAACAAAATATCGAGCCCTTTGGACTTAATATTAAGAGTGATATGGAAAGATTATTGAACACGGCTGATTATACACATTATACCGATAATACATATACTCGTTTTAAACGAGGTGTGTTGATAATACGTGCGTGGTATCTGTGACTATTATAATATTCACCTCGTTAATTGAGTTAACGAATGTGATAGTACTACAGGCGACTGTGCGTTTTTACAGTGTAGAGCATTCGGCAATTACATTTTATCATTAAATTCAATCTCGTTCCATTTTAACAAAAATGTGTTAAAATTTTGAAGTATTTACCTGAAAATTTATCTACGAATTCTGCATAGTCCACGCCAGTTGAATCAACAATGATGCTATTGCTGCTGTCGTACTTTAGGACTGTCCTGTGGAGCGCCAATATTATCATAAACATTAAAAAGAATTCAAATAAATCATTTCACATAGATGTAATGACCACAGTTCAAAAATATAACGATACGGTACAAATGAAAAAATCATTATATATATATAAGTCACGCAATGTAAACGTAAAACTAAAGTATTTAATAATCTTGGCTCATGGCATTTACATAACAAAAAATCACAAAAAAATGGACACTTCAAATTTAATGCCTACCGAAAATCTAACAAAACAGAAAAAACAGTCAAAATAGCTTTGAGGTTAATCCGGCTATCCAATATACTATTGAATACTTTTCAATAGATAAAACATTGAGTTATATACAAATAAAGAAACAAAAACGAAAGTTACAAACTAAATAATTTCTCTACAGGAATATTAGCATGAAACATTAGTTTTTAAAATCAATGATGCTGATAAATTTTAATATCATGTCGTGCTTTAAATTTAATTTTAGTAATATGTTAGACTCTCGTTAGTACTTATTCAAATTTTAACAGGAAGAACAAAATTCACCTCCAGAATTTGTTTAAGAGTTTCGCAACCGGAAACACAGCAGACGCCCAAATATCAATAGTACATCTAAGAAAATGTCTACTTTGAGGGAGATATCAACTTTACTTACCAGTTTGTCTCGCTGTTGTCACTCCTTACGTCCTCATACGCTTGATATGCCGCATCTTTGTCCATCATGTATTTTCAGGTCCGATTATTTTTTTGTATGTATAGATATATAGACAGCCGACCACTCTGCACCGATAGGCGTTCCTCAATGGCAGATGACACGAACTATGATGACATTAAAATTTTACTAGAGGGGCCATCTCAAAACGTAAATGAGCTTGTATATGTCACGATCTAATTAAAATTCGATGTTCAATTTAACTCCGCATGGTTCTGTTCAGTGAATAAGGCATCGAATTTTAAGTAGATTTCAGACATTTGTTTCACGGTGTCTTATTCTGATATATTCACATTTTACATATATACTTATATATATATATATTTAACAACAGGACTTAGCATATCACATACCACCGCAAAAGTAACACTTTTTGATTTGCAAACAAATAGTTTGAATAAATAAATATTAATAAATGCATTATTTTCCCCGTGATAAAATGTCATATAAAATCAATAACTTTGCCCCTTATAAACATCGAAAGAACCACTTAAGTAAAGTGTTAACTTTGATGATGGAGACAGATTTATATAAACTGAAAAGCATGTTTCCGAATCTGATTCAAATGTGACTGTTCTTATCAAGTGTAATGTATATGTATACATATATATATTTATATGACTGAAATAAAATTTACACTTGTATTAACTATAATGACATAACTGGGTGACAGGCGAAAAAAAATATAGATGAAAAGTTGGCATAGGTGCGTTTGAAGAATATAATTGAACCCTTTAATCCGGAATTAACACGTAACGTTCCGATTCCTAAACGATGTTTTAGTATTCAAACATATTTCCATTTTGGCACAAATAAGGGATTGGGCACAAGTTTAATAACTTCGATAAAACATTTTCCTATTAAAATTGCTCACAAAACACAGTTTCAAGATGGCAGGCTTCAAATAGAGAGGGAAACACAGAGACAGACAGAGAGAAAGAGAGAGACACAGACAGAGAGAGACAGAGAGAGAGAGAGAGGGCGGTGGGAGTAGGATATATATATATATATATAGAGAGAGAGAGAGAGAGAGAGAGAGAGAGAGAGAGAGAGAGAGAGAGAGAGAGAGAGAGAGAGAGAGAGAGAGAGAGAGAGAGAGAGAGAGAGAGAGAGAGAGAGAGAGAGAGAGAGAGAGAGAGAGAGAGAGAGAGAGAGAGAGAGAGAGAGAGAGAGAGAGAGACAGAGAGAGAGAGAGAGACAGAGAGAGAGTATATACTTACAGAAACGTACTTTATATTTGGAGCTCCCGTCTATGCAAACGGAACTAGTAATATACTGGTCACAGGTAAAATCGATCAGCACTAGTCACAGGTCAAATCGATCAGCACTGGTCACAGGTCAAATCGATCAACACTAGTCACAGCTTAAATCGATCACCACTGGTCACAAGTCAAATTGATCAGCACTGGTCACAGGTCAAATCGATCACCACTGGTCACAAGTCAAGTCGATCACCACTGGTCACAGGTCAAATCGATCGGCACAGTTCACAGGTCAAATAGATCAGCACTAGTCACAGGTCAAATCGATCAGCACTAGTCACAGGTCAAATCGATCAGCACTGGTCACAGGTCAAATTGATCAACACTGGTCACAGGTCAAATCGATCAGCACTTGTAAAAGGTTAAATCAATCAGCACAGTTCACAGGTCAAATCGATGTTTACCTCTCTCCTACTTCTCGTTGGTGTTCCACAGCAGAGTAAAACTCCCCAGAGAATAATTTTACTGCCCTTAGGATTTTGTCTGGTTCAAATTTCTTCATGTTGATCCCTTGGCTTTCACGATGGATTGAATCAAACGCATTTTCACAGTCTACGAAGTTAAGATGCAATGTTGCCTGCCACCCATCACTTGCTTTATGATGTTCCGAAGTATAAAGACTTGCTCGGTCGCGTCCCTGCCTTTCCTATATCCTGCTTGTTCTTTCCTCGGTCTTCTATCGATTCCCTCAATGGGTTCAATGGCAATCTTTCCACGTAGTTTTCCAACTACAGAAATGAACGTGATTCCTCTAGAATTCTTACATTCCATGATATTTACCTTCTATGCTAACTTAATGATGAACCCTTTCTTCCAACTATCTGGGATTTTCTCCTCTCTCCATATTACTTCCACTAGATGATGAAACTTTGTTCCGTAAAGCGCGACATCTATTTTTAACAACTCTGCCGTGATGAAATCAATGCCTAGTGACTTTCTATTCCATACAATTTAAAAAGTCTTCCGCAATTCTTCTATTGATGGTAAGGTGACAGAACTGCCCACTATTACTTCCTCAAGTTCCACTTCCTCATCTTCTGTTACATGATTTTGCCGTTCCACTCTGTTCAGTACCTCTTTGAAGTGTTGCGTCCATCTTGATGAGACTTTTGTTTTTACGCTGATTGTCATTTTTGTCTAGGACTGCTGCACTCTGTATAGGTCTTTCATTGCACAGTGTTTTTGTAAGCCCATATAATGTTTTCATATGTTGACCTCATCCTGCCTCCACGACGTCACTTGCAATGTTGTCTATCCATTTCTTCTGATTTGCTTTCAAACTTCTTTAAACTTCCCTGTCATTGTTCTCGTACTTCTCCTTTAGTTGTCTTTTAACTCTCTCTGATTGTGTACAGATGATGAGGCCACTCTGACGGAAATCCATGGTTTCTTCGTCTTCCTCGATCTACCCGATACCTCTTCTTCCTTTTGAATCACTCTAAATTTCCTCTAACCTTCCGCCTCTCCCAGATCCTAGTCCGAATTCTCCAATATTTGATACATGTTTCTGATAGCGATGTTGAACGTCCTCATGGTATCCGAATCCTTCAAATTTTCGATGCCATACGTAACCATATCACATTTCTTCGTTTTGCGCTGCTCCCTCAGTCTCAGTTTGACTGTTGTGCACTCTTAGTTGATGGTCACTTCCTAAATCTGCTGATCTTAATATTCTAGTGTCCCTCACTGAATTCCTAGAGCGCTTGTTATTTAACAAATGATCTATTTCATTTCTTATTGTTCCATTAGGTGATGTTTCTTTATGGATGGCTTTATGTAGGAATATGGTCTTGTAATGATCAATTCGTTCACACAATCTTTCACCATTGTCATTCCTAACTCCAAGACCATGCTTTCACATAATTGTTTCGTAGTGTTTGTTGTCACTTCAGCATTCATATCACCAGTGATGATTAACATGTCATGTCTGTTCCTTTTCCCCAATACATCCCAGGGTCTCGCCTAAAACTTATTCTTCGCTTGATCATCTGCATCCTCTATAGGTGCATATACATGCACAACTGTTTTGATAAAAGACTTGCAAGGATTATCCTTTCATTGGCGAGTGTCCAATCTATCAGTGCATTTGATGCTTTCTTTGACATAAGTATGTCAGCACCTTCTATGGAGATGTTATTGTCCCTTCCAGTATAGATTATCATCTCTCCTTCTGCCAGGTGTCTTGTCCAATCGAACCCGTTTCGCTAATGCCCATGATATCCATTTCCCTCCTTGTCATCTCACTAACAATCTGTGCTACGTTTCTACTCCTTTACAGTGTAAATATAGACCAGTTTCCTGTCCTGTGAGACCAGGGGATCACGCTTCGTCTGGTCCCTACCCTTCGACCTGTTCGGCATGGATGACCCTACTGGGAGCTTCGTATTCTCCCGCCGACATAGCTCTTAGGGTCAGTGTAACGCGCAAACTGCTTTCCACAATAAGGTAGAGATCCCAAAAAGCCAGCGAATTACAGACTAACTAAAACTAATTGCTCCTTTCTTCATTTCATATTTCGACCATGGGATAATTTACACAAAATTACATACTGAATGCAGTTCTTTAAAATATGATTTATTTTATGCAAATCTGCTCATGTGGAAACCCTTGTGAAAATGCTTATTGGATTGTCACTATTTTAAACAGCTAAGACGTTTGCTTTCTTTAATCTTAAAAAAAAACATTATTTTGTATTAAGACTTTCGTCTTTCTTGAAATGAAAATCTTTTTACAGACATTGATGAAATAATATTCAGAAATGTGCAGTTTCATTAATTCTTGCAATATATTTTTAATTACAGTAAATATAATTTCGTTACGATGTTTGGAGATCAATGTAACTTTACCGTAATATGTATATAAATATAGATTCCTGATTTCTTTGTTTGCCAACTGCTGTAAGTTTTGAGGGGATAGGGCTTAAATAATTTAGTAACAACTTGTTACGCATCCTGTTACTGATAACTATGGCATTAAAACATTTTTGAATCAATGAAAATGTTGCACTGCGTCTAATGATAAGAGATAGCTGTTATATTTTTCATAGGTGCGAAAGTCAAAGTGAGATTCACCATTCAAAGGAGAGAGTAGAGTGTGAAGACAGTTATATAATGTTTTTGTTAAAATAACTAGGCTCACTACCCTATGTCTATTTTGTCAAGATTTCCCATTTGGTTTCATTTTACACTGATTAACTTCTAGTATAAGAAGGTTGAAGAGCTTCCGACAACACGACAAGCCTCTAGTTGAAACTTGAAATAGAATACCTTCTTTGAAACTCTACTAGAAATCAGAGTGTGGGTAATCCAGCTGTAATAACTGACATGAATGAATTACGTACGTTAATTCAATTTCCACAAAACGTTGCAGAAAGCTATGCTGTGCTTGTAGCACCAAGGCAAATGCTCTTTACGATTTGTAAAAAAAGTAATTCAGTGCACGTTTCGTATCTAAAACATATATCTGAGTGATTTTACGTTTTTACAATGATCGTGATGACCAACTGTATTTGTACAATGTTTCAATTAAAGGCCTGCACAATCTACAAACAAAGACCTTACTTGTATTTAACATGTACTTGATGCTCTTCGATAGTTTTCGGAGACAAAAAAATTACGAAATTCATAAATTATGTGGCTGTTGTACTTCCTCGTCTTGGGTCAATCAAATTTGTTTTTCTTCAGTCGCCTCCAAGGTTTCAAAATTTAGGCCCCTTTTTTCACTGACGATTCCTTATAAGGAGAAACCGTCAGTTGATGCGGCTTCGTCCATGCTCTACTGTATCTAATTCTAAATTTGTGTTGAAAGATGTTATTGACTTACATTATTTTGATGATCTTCGAAATCACAGGAGGGAAGACTGCTGGATGTTGAGACCACTGGTGTTATATATTGCTGGTGGTAGACACTGTTGATAGTAGATATTGTTGGTGGTAGATACCCGCATGGTAAATATTTCTGGTGGTAGATATTGCTGGTGGTAGATATTTCTGGTGGTAGATATTGCTGGTGGTAGATATTTCTGGTGGTAGATATTGCTGGTGATAAATATTTCTGGTGGTAGATACTGCTGGTGGTAGATATTGCTGGTGGTAGACAATCCTGGTAGAAGATATTGCTGGTGGTAGACACTGCTGGCGGTAGATATTGCTGGTGGAAAATATTGCTGGTGGTAGATACTGTTGGCGGTAGATATTGCTGGTGGTAGATATTGCTGGTGGTAGACAATCCTGGTGGTAGACACTGTTGGTGGTAGACATTGCTGGTGGTAGACACTGCTGGTGGAAGATATTGCTGGTGGTAGACACTGCTGGTAGCAGAAACTGCTAGTGGTAGACACTGCTGGTGGAAGATATTGCTGGTGGTAGATATTGCTGGTGGTAGACAATCCTTGTGGTAGATACTGCTGATGGTAGACACTGCTGGTGGAAGATATTGCTTGTGGTAGATACTGCTGGTGGTAGATATTGATGGTGGTAGACACTGCTGATAGTAGGTACTGCTGTTGGTATATATTGCTGGTGGTAGATACTTCTAGTGGTAGGCACTGCTGGTGGAAGATATTGCTGGTGGTAGACACTGCTGGTGGTAGATATTTCTGGTGGTAGATATTGCTGGTGGTAAATATTTCTGGTGGTAGATACTGCTGGTGGTAGATATTGCTGGTGGTAGACGATCCTGGTGGAAGATATTGCTGGTGTTAGACACTGCTGGCGGTAGATATTGCTGGTGGTAGATATTGCTGGTGGTAGACAATCCTGGTGAAAAATATTGCTGATGGTAGATATTGCTGGTGGTAGACAATCCTGGTGGTAGACACTGTTGGTGGTAGACATTGCTGGTGGTAGACACTGCTGGTGGAAGATATTGCTGGTGGTAGACACTGCTGGTAGCAGAAACTGCTAGTGGTAGACACTGCTGGTGGAAGATATTGCTGGTGGTAGATATTGCTGGTGGTAGACACTTTTTCTTGACTTTAAGTCTCCAATGTATGCCGTTACTTGCATGTCATGTTTCAATTAATTCAGGTATTGGCAGGCTCAGAATATACACATATACTTGATCTTCCAATTTTAGAAATCTAAAATTTATTGAATTTTTGGGCTATTGCAACCCTTCATCTAGATTTTAATTTTTCTTTCGATCACACAGGGCTTTTCTCACTTGCCTCCTAGGCTTAAAAATTTAGGCCCCTAGCTTCAATGACGAGTCATAGAAAGATGAAATAGCTACAGAAATCAATTAACATATTTTTTGACACTACAGTATGTAATTCTTCATTCTTTATCATTTGTTCTCGGCTTGTCTTTTGTACATTTTAAAACATTTTCAGTACATAAAACGAAATTATATAAAAGAGAGAAAGATAAATCTGTTAAACAAAGTGAAACGTTTCAAATGGTGAACGTTTTTATTTACTATGTGTTTCAGTCGATGATTCCATTACCTAGGGGTTCTTTCTAGTATCACGAATACCAGATATCGACAGATGACCACTAGCTGAACATTAGCTGACCAGTTTGTCCTTGCGAGGTTGTGATATTACAAAGATAGAATTAGAAATACTTGGCGGGTGTAGAAGATGAAACAAAACACGCTCTCCCTTATGGAACACTTGATAAGTATTCTGAATGGTTATTGTTTCTTTGTACATACTCTCATTAATTTTCCTATTTGTAATTCTCCATTAAAAAATATTGTCATTATTGCTCTTGTCGGCTTGCCGTCGTCAGTGTTCGCAGAGAAAGAAAAATAATCAACCTAGCGTGGTAGTATAAATCGGATAACCTCTACCCCTCCCACCTTCACCCACCCCAACATACATCCGCTCTCCATTTTTTTAATTACGTGAGACGAAAATGTAGAAAAGGATACCCGATATATGCACTATCACAGCAGTATCGTAGTGGCGAATCAGCCTTGGCTTATGTTTTCGTATAAAATCATTTGAAGGAAGGATCATAGGAGATGGCTCTTGTTACTAATTACACACATTATTACTTTATGATACAGTTCATTCTTCATGATATGTATTGTTTTTAGGACTAGGATATGAAATAGATAGAAAATGTAACTTCAAGATAACAATAACAAAACAAATTCATTTAAAAGTTATATTTCGATTTAATTTTTTCACAGGTGTAACAAATTGCACATTACACCATTTTAATGCACACTGACTTCACCTTCCACATAATGACACACCTCGAAATCAAATATCCGATCCCTAGAAAAACAAAACGCGAAGGTAATTAATGCAAACGAAGAAATAGTAACATAATGGTAGTGATCTTAATATGCAACGAAGTCTTATCAATAGGTAAATTTATCAGGTAAAATAATGTGTATTGAATTAACACACGTGGTATATACTATGTGTATGTATTATATGTTGAATGTATTGTTAACATACTGGTAAAACTTGTTTGGTAGATGTTATGTATAAGCATATTAACTGAAATGTACATGTTAACACACCAGTAACACATGAGTAAGCTGTATACGTGGTAGATATTATGTGTCAGTATTTTATGTAAAATGTATATGTTAACACACCAGTAACACATGAGTAAACTTTATACATGGTAGATATTATGTGTCAGTATTTTATGTAAAATGTACATGTTAACACACGAGTAACACATGAGTAAGCTGTATACGTGGTAGATATTATGTGTCAGTATTTTATGTAAAATGTATATGTTAACACACCAGTAACACATGAGTAAGCTGTATACGTGGTAGATATTATGTGTCAGTATTTTATGTAAAATGTGCATGTTAACACACGATTAACACAGGAGTAAGCTGTGTACGTGGTAGATATTATGTGTCAGCATTCTATGTAAAATGTATATGTTTTTTACTACTTATGCCTCGTTATGTGTTCTGTTGTCTTAATCTATAGCCTAAAAGTCATATATATTACAGTTTCAAATTATGATATACCGGGGTATCAAATGTTGTGTTTAGGTTTCATGGAATCGCTATAAAATTTACTAATAATGTAAAGCTTGTAATTAACCTAATCCCTGTGATCTTTTATTCGAAACTTCTGATGTCTACTATATGTCAGATAAAATGCTAACATTCAAAAATTTGTCATGTATATCCAATGACATTCGTTTCATTGACAATATGACGTATTGTTGAATAACGTTTTGCTTTTCTATTTTCCAAAGCTTTGGATATCATTAAAATGGGTTTGAATAATACTATGCCAAATAAAACAGCATTCATGAACGGTGAACATGTACAAGCGATCAAATAATTCGTCTTGCATTTGTGTTTCAAATCGTTTTGATACAAATTTAGGATAGGGAAACTCGATAGCAATATGAAGCATACTCATAGTCGTTGTCATGGACACTGATCCATCCATGAAAGTTCTGGTTATCCTGTTGTGTCGTTACAGATAGACCTCCATCATAGCTGTTCACAAACCCAGTGTCTTGACAGTCTTGTCTAATGTGACCTAAAAATCAATACTATAAACTCTTAACAAAACAACAGTTGTTTGATCATTTTTTAAGTTGTCTTTTCAATAATTCAAACCAAAAGTTAACGATTACATCCTCTTTTGAATATATTTTCAGAATAACGAAGAAATATTTCTAATATTCTGAGTGACAAGTACGGAGAATGCTGTCAGTGTGACTCCAGTTAATACTTGCCCTTCATCTTACAACACTGAAATGCCCAACGTCTATCCTCACTCCCGTTGTCATGGATACTACGAACACCATTTATGAACCCCTCTCCAGGACACTCGTAGTCAAACGGTTGATCAAAATCGTTGACGTAACCTGTTGTAAGTTTGAAATGTTAGTTCAACACCAAATCAATTATCATAACCTTCAAATTGTTTGAGTTTGGAACATTATAGAAAAGTATTGAAATGCTTTGACATAAAGTAAAGGTGAAATATTATTTCATAAAATGACCGCGAATGCTGGTATGAATGTTAGATTTTATTTGATAATAATAAGAATACCAACATTTTTTCCTCGCAAATAAATTATATAAAAAAGTCGAACAGACCAGAACAGTGAGATTAAGTCAGTGCTGAGCCTGAAAGCAGTCATTAAGTTGGTAATGTGATGTATTGAGGGTGGTCGGGTGGTGCAGTGGTAACGCATACGCCTTTCACCTAGCCGTCCGGGGTTCGATTCCCGGAATGGATGTAAAAAGGTATGAGGGTCACTTGCCCGACCACGTGGGTTTTCCCCGGGTACTTCGGTTTCCTCCCACACTAAGACCCTCGCGCGCTTCCATCCGAGCCAACAAGAGTGATTATTATAAGTTGGAAATACTTGCTTTGCAATTGTTGTAAAATAAATAAAGTATATAGTATGTGTTGTCAATGTCTAACGTCCATTGACAGCAGCCGTCGGTCTTCTGATTACTTGAATACTGCTCAATATTCTCCATATTGGGAAGGTTACACTTCGAATTGAATTGCGCAAGGTTTGATTGTTTTACCAACCACCATTTTCTTGTCATGGCTGTCGACGTCAGAAAGTCCCTAACTTGAGGTTTTTTAATGTAAAACCAATTTTCATGATGTAATACTTACCATAACTTTAGTATGCAAATACAGTACCTACACCCATCTTTGTATCACAACAACAAAAGATTCAAAAGAAAAACAATCCCGCCCTCCCTACGATCCATAAGCCATCACGGCAGGAACGCAGAGTGATCTCCCTTCCTCTAATAACCTTTATGGCGTACCCCACAGAGGGGCAGCCAGGCAGATAAGGAAGAGGGGAGGATAGGGTGGGACTCCATAAAGTTATGGTAAGTATTACTTCATGAAAATTGGTTTTACATTAAAAAACCTCAATTTCATTTCAGTAATAATTACCATAACTTTAGTATGCGAATTCGTCTTACCGTAGTGTTGTCTAGAAGCCAGGCAGCCCCTTCAGCACAACCAAAGTAGTAGGGAGGGAGAACAGAGTGCTAAAGTGAAGGAAGGGACCTCTCTGTGAAAGAGCAGGTGTACCCACATGCCGCCGTACGGAAAGACATGGCCCGGGGCTAACGAGGAGGCCCAGCCACTGACTATGCCACCACCAAAGGTCCCAATGAATACAGGCCTTCTGAGTGGGAAGCTAGGGATCACAGATAAAAATCTGTGAAGGTATCCCTGCCCTGCCAGAATGCTGCAGACATGACCTCCTGAAAGGAGGACCCATTGAGAGAAGGGCCCAGGATGAAGCAAGGGCCCTGACCTCGTGAGACCGCGCTTTCGCTCTCGCCCGAGCCAGATCATCAAAATGCTCGTAAGCATACTAAATCACCCGGCAAACCCACCTGGAAACCGACTGGGAGGAGATATCTCGTTGTCCCTGTTTGATGGGCAAAACAGACGGGATCGAGAGCCACCCCCCTGGTTTTATCAAGATAAAACCTAAGAGCCCGACAAGGACAAAGCAACCTATCTCGCTCCTCCGAGCTAGTCACAGCCAGGATCCTGATGGGATCGTGCGAGAGCCCCGGAACCTGATTCTTCGCTAAAAACAACTCTATCCATAGCAAAGCCTCTGATTAGGGCAGAAAGAGAGGAGGACTAACCTATCTCCTTCCTGCCATAACAAGCAAGAACTCTGGCAATAGCTGTACGATAGCCAGCAATAGTGCCAGGTGCCAGATAGCGGTACCTAAACAGAGAGATTAGGAAGTCCGCAATCAAATGCAGAGGCTTCGAATGAATAAGCTTCCTTGCCGACACGCCAATCACAGAAGATCATCCAACGTGACTGGTAGACGGCAGAAGAGGAAGCCCTGATTGATTGCTCAATGCAATCTGACACCTCTTGAGAAAAGCCTGCCTTGGCGTGGCTTCCAGAGATAGCCTCAACGCGTGAAGGTGGAGGATCTCTGGTCAAGAGTGTGTCGTTCTGGGCCAAGGCTGGCAAAGGAGATTCGGTCTGGTGGGGAGAGCCCCTGAAACCAAGCTTGCCTCGGCCACAGAGGGGCTCTCAGAAGTAAGGAGCAGTGATGCTCCCAGAACTTCTGTAGCACCCTGCCCACCAGGTTGAAGGAAGGGAATGCATATGCATACGTCCCTTCCTATTCCAGAGAAAGGGCGTCCACAGCCCACGCCTTACGGTCTGGGACCGGGGAGACAAAGGTTAGCAGCTAGTTGTTCAGGGAAGTGGCAAACAGGTCTATAATAGGTCTGTCCCACGCCTGACAATTCCCCTTGAAAATCAAGGGACACAGCTGCCATTTCGTCAACACCGGCTGGTGGCGCCTGGAGAGTGTCCACCAACACACTCAGCCTGCCAGAAAGATGGTTGACCGCTATGGTCAACTGCATGTCCTGGCAGAGAAGAAGGATGTGGATGGAGAGGGCACACAGGACCTGAGACCTGGTGGCCCCTGTCTCTCCAGATACACGACAACTGTGGTCGGTAGCCACACTTTGGACTGCAGGATACCCCTAAAGGACTGCAGAGCCAAATGAACAGTCTCATCTCGAGTACACTGATGTGCTCCGAGAGCTGTTCGCCAGACCACTACCCCGAGCGGCATTGGCCATTGAGGTAAGCTCCCATTCCTGTCATGAACGTGTCCATGAACAGGATCATAGAGGGGATAGGCTTGGTCAGAGGTACCCCGTGGAAAACGTTCTCCTGAATGGTCCACCAGCAAGAGAACTCCCTGACCGACTGGGTAAGCGGGATCCAAGCCTCCTGGATGACGGAACCCAGTCAGACAGGAGGAACATCTGGAGAGGTCCGATGTGAATCCTCCCTAGGGGGACCACATCTGCCAAGGAGTTGAGATACCCCAGAAAACTGAGGAACCAATATACCTGGACAAGCGACCAAGCGATGAAAGTCAGAGCCAGAGCCCTGACATTCTCGAACTTCTCCAGAGGTGGAAGGGCTAAGCCCCGAACCATGTCAAAATGGTTCCCCAGGAAGACGAAGTCCTAATATAAAGGAACCTCTGACTTCTCTCTGGAAGGAATAATGCTGACTCTGATCAAGAGTTTCAGGACCAGATGAGTGTCCTTCGCTAACGATTCCCACACCGAAAGAGGGCATCTCTGCCTTGGCAGCATGGTCCCTACTTCCTCCTGGAGCACCCGTGCCCTTTTAACACGGGAGGAAAACAACAAAAACGGCCGGGAGGCGAGGGATGAATCCTGAAGAAGGGGAATATGTAAAATGTGCATGTTAACACACAAAACACAGCGTCATCTTTAATATCCTGTCACGTGGAAAGGATATTATGTGTCAGCATTCTATGTAAAATGTCTATGTTTTTTACTACTTATGCCTCGACCATGTGTTCTGTTGTCTTAATCTATAGCCTGCGGGAGAAAGTCATATATATTACAGTTTCAGAACCACCGATATACCGGGGTATCAAATGTTGTGTTTAGGTTTCATGGAATCGCTATAAAATTTACTAATAATGTAAAGCTTGTAATTAACCTAATCCCTGTGATCTTTTATTCGAAACTTCTGATGTTGGGACTATATGTCAGATAAAATGCTAACATTCAAAAATTTGTCATGTATATCCAATGACATGGCGTTTCATTGACAATATGACCAGAATTGTTGAATAACGTTTTGCTTTTCTATTTTCTGAAGCTTTGGATATCATTAAAATGGGTTTGAATAATACTATGCCAAATAAAACAGCATTCATGAACGGTGAACATGTACAACACGATCAAATAATTCAAGGCTTGCATTTGTGTTTCAAATCGTTTTGATACAAATTTAGCATAGGGATACCCTGTATAGCAAATATCAAGCATACTGACAAAACTTGTCATGTGCAACATTCTCTCCATCCATGAAAGTTCTGGTTATCCACCTGTGTCCACTGATTTGCCTCCATCATAGCTGTTCACAAACCCAGTGTGCTTGACAGTCTTGTCTAATGTGTGGCTAAAAATCAATACTATAAACTCTTAACAAAACAACAGTTGTTTGATCATTTTTTAAGTTGTCTTTTCAATAATTCAAACCAAAAGTTAACGATTACATCCTCTTTTGGAATATATTTTCAGAATAACTGTAGAAATATTTCTAATATTCTGAGTGACAAGAACAGGAGAATGCTGTCAGTGTGACGGAAGTCCTTAAGGTCTGGCAAACCTTAATACTTGCCCTTCATCTTACAACACTGAAATGCCCAACGTCTATAACATCTCCCGTTGTCATGGATACTACGAACACCATTTATGAACCCCTCTCCAGGACACTCGTAGTCAAACGGTTGATCAAAATCGTTGACGTAACCTGTTGTAAGTTTGAAATGTTAGTTCAACACCAAATCGATTATCATAACCTCCAAATTGTTTGAGTTTGGAACATTATAGAAAAGTATTGAAATGCTTTGACATAAAGTAAAGGTGAAATATTATTTCATAAAATGACCGCGAATGCTGGTATGAATGTTAGATTTTATTAGATAATAATAAGAATACCAACATTTTTTCCTCGCAAATAAACTATATAAAAAAGTCGAACAGACCAGAACAATGAGATTAAGTCAGTGCTGAGCCTGTAAGCAGTCATTAAGTTGGTAATGTGATGTATTGAGGGTGGTCGGGTGGTGCAGTGGTAACGCATACGCCTTTCACCTAGCCGAAAACGGGGTTCAACTTCCCGGAATGGATGTAAAAAGGTATGAGGGTCACTTGCACCGACCACGTGGGAAAAAACAGCCGGAAATACGGTTTCCTCCCACAATAAGACCCTCGCGCGCTTAATTCCGAGCCAACAAGAGTGATTATTATAAGTCGGAAATACTTGCTTTGCAATTGTTGTAAAATAAATAAAGTATATAGTATGTGTTGTCAATGTCTAACGTCCATTGACAGCAGCCGTCGGTCTTTTGATTACTTGAATACTGCTCAATATTCTTCATATTGGGAAGGTTACACATCGATTTGAATTGCGCAAGGTTTGATTGTTTTACCAACCACCATTTTCTTGTCATGGCTGTCGACGTCAGAAAGTCCATAACATACGGTATTACTTGGTAAAAAGCGTGCCGATTGGTCAGTCAACAGGACTGACAATGCTGCTGATCACGTGATCGTTACCACATCTCATCATACACCCGTTCTTCACCATGTGATAGTGAATAAATTTATTACTCTCATTTTAGTTCATAAAAGCACTATCAGAATCGAACTTGGCATATCTACATTTTGACAAAGTAGTTGGCTCTGTTTTGACTATTTCTTATTGGTCCAGACTCATGATTGTGGAAATATCCGCAGTTTTAAACTTTTTAACTGCATGGTATAAAGAGGATATAAATGGTTCGCCGTTTGATATCCTATATATATTACGAGTATAACAGAATTTTTTTAATTTATTACATTTTAAAACGAATGGCAAATGAGAAAGGCCGACCCAAACATCACATTGTACTGTATCAAGCTTATGTTGTTGTCTGATCAGAATCGCTTAGAAAACTATTTTTATACTAGATTAGAGAAAATCAGAAATGTACAGAATTGTTTAACAGAAAACGAACTTATTCAACCTACGCTTCATTTGTATCCGAACAGAAAAATCAGTGAATTACTAATACGGTAACTAGAAAGCACCGCTCTTGTTGGTCAAAAGTACGAAAGTAATATCATGACTAGAAAAAAATTAATTCTATCATCACTGCAGTTTGATATTGAATGGCTATTAAATGGTTTCCCGTTTAATACCATATATATTTCACAAGTATGACACAATAACTTTATTTTTTGCGAGTGCAGAAATACACGCAGTGACTACAAAGCACCTCTCTGGTTGGTCAAAAGTTACATCACTGGTGATCACATGCAGTTTCTTATATCATCACTGTTTTTTTATATATAAAATTGATAAATTTCTATATTTCACTGGAAAATATGTAATAAATCAATATATTTATTTGTGTTGTATAGAAATACTTTGATATAATTCCATTCGGCAATTTTGGACAAATTCAAATATCCATTTGAATCTGTAATCAGATTCACAGTCAATAGTATCAGATCTTCAGTAAACTTGTAAAAAAATAATCAGTGCTGATGATGTGAATTTTTGTATTAGGTAAATTCATTGCGACTACATCTCTTTAAACACAGACATATTCACGTGAGAACGTGGAGAGGTTTGTGTGTACGCATGTTTTATGTAATTCGTATTTTTTCAACACGCCAGTAATACACCTGTATATGACCAACCAGAATCAGTGGGAAGGATGATCAGTCGCCTAATTAGAAGGATCTATTGATATTACATATAGATATGCGTTTCTGCCGTCGTGTAATTTATTATCACAATTATATAAGAAGACTAAGGAATTGATAAGGAGTTATATAACTTATATAAAACACATTTAGACTTACACAGTCATCACATGTTAACGCGTACCTGTCCATTGGCAGTCATAAACCATTGCCACGGCTGGATAGCAACCCATCGACCAAACTCTGTCCTCATGGCTGTTGCTGTGCTGACTAGACAGGTGACGTAAAGTAGTGTTTCCTACGCATGAAAAATTCATTGGATTGTCATAGTCATTAACGGTTTCAACAAGAAATGCCAATGTCACAGACAGACCAACAAACAGGAAACACACCAAAACCTGGACAGACATTACCTGAAATAGTTATACAATATTATATCAATGGTATGTCGATAAAACATTGTAACTGTGTCTTAAAAAACGTAACGTAAACAGTTATACAAGATCTTATATGAAATCATACAATATGTACTATGTATAAAACTATTGTAATGAGTATCGTGATGTAGTAGCGCCTAAAATCAGTGCAATATGTATTGTAGTTCATGTGTACATTATATAATATGATACAGTGCCTAGAGTGTTATAAGGTGTAAATGTTATATGGTGTTGTGTATGTAGTTTTATAATTAGTATTACTATTTTTTTTCAAATATCAAATGTGTTATACCTATAGAGAACTGGTTTTCCGTGTATTATTGTGAAATTTCTTTTCCATTCATGTAAATACAGCACAAAAAATACGGTCATTGACATCTTACCTTCATGATGTAGAATTAAACCACGTACTTCTGCCTAGTGATCAACACCAAGTGCATGATAATCAGAGACGTACAATCCTATATTTATATTTATCTTCAATACCAGGATGTCCAGATAAGAATATCTATAATGTCAAAACAACAGATGGAACATAAGACGTTTTCCTGTTGAGTCCATGGATGACCTCCACACGAGATAGAAGTACTTTTACTGCTGAATAATGTATCTACGTACATGTGGGATTAGATGACACCGTCAAGGTTCGTCAGTAATCAGTAAGGTGTGATTACGTCATGTGTCAACAAAAATGACAAGGTATAAGTAAATAAATATATAAATATCAAAACTTTCCGCGTGTTTTCATCTCTAACGCAAAACAAAAAAAAAAAAAAAAAAAAAACTGTGTGAGAAACGTTCATGTTTTCATTATCCCAAATGTTAAACAAACAAACAAAAAAAATCATTATTTCTCATCCGAAATAGTGAAAATATTGGAAATAAAAATATAAACTGTATTTGACTTGGTGATAGTATATATATAGCGATTGTTCTGCTTTGTGCTAATGCCTGTAGCTTATTTGAGATTGTTGTTATTTTTCTCCGCATTTCTTAGAGCTATGTTTATATTCTAGGGTTAATTATATACATTGTGCCAACATTTTAATCTATTTAATATAAAATCTATCATTGATATGTGTTATTGCAAGTGTATACAACTGTAGGTTGCTGTATACCATATTGTTGTGGGATGTGTGAGAGTTATCTCCCTTTATTTGTTTTTCCTTGGTTTTTTTCCCTTTCTGTGTTTATAAATCCATTTTCATTTCAAAGTATATAATTTGCATCATTACTCTTAAACTTTGTTAACTTTGACTTCGCGGAGAGAATTTATATAGGATTTGTCTGTTATTCAATCCACATCGACTGTACCATCTTTGTCAATAAGATTTGTTGAAATACATTGTGTACAGGCGGATATATCAAAGTGGTCGCAAATAGTTTGCCTCATCATGTTTTAATTTTGTAATTTGTTTTTCACATTTTCATGTGAGGGAAAGATAAAGAGTACATACACATATTAAGATCGTATTGATATTACGATCAACCTATATAATGACATAATATACATATGATTATAACATAATAATCTAGGTAAATATTGGAAAAAATCATATTGCTTTGATATGTCACCCTAGTATCTCTACAATTGATGTGGATCATATTTCAGATTTGTTGGCTATTGTGACGAAATCGTGTGGAGATTAGCAAAAATTCAGGATGTTATCATGTTTGTGTTTTGATTTGCAACTTGATATCAGCTTGTAATATTTCGTCGCTTCGACAAAACTATAACAAACATACACGTTGTTTAAAGGGACAGCGTATTCAGGTGATATCGCCCAGGTACCAACAACATCACTTTCCTTTTGCATGATAGCTAATAAAAAGTACTTGGAACTGATGTACACAGCTTTCATCATTGGAAAAACTGCTGACAAGTTTAACTTATACCAGAAATAGCAACATCAAGAAAAAAAACATCGTAAAACTGTAAAATAGGTCACTTTCCTGTGTCGATTATTGATCAGTTGTCTGAAAATTGCAATTAGCTGAGAATATATAAAACTCTCCTGGCATCGGAAACAAGTTAGATAATCATTATAAATGCGAGATTCTCGATCTCTCTTCATCTCAGAAAGTGACAGTGTTACCAACGTATAAGATTTTATAAGTCATTTAATTTTAATTGCCATGAAAACTCTAGGTATTGCCGATATTTCAGCAAGATCCATTTATTAGTGTTATCGGAGTATACATTGTAATCTGATTTTTAAAAATAGTTGTAATACTGTGCCATGTGTAACTTTATGTTGTGTGTATAAAGGGCATCGTACATAAAAGCGTCGTAATGTTGTGTTGTGGCGCCGCGAAAATTATATTGTGTATTGTATTATGTTGCATAATTTTATCATATTGTTGAATATGCAATTCATATCGTGAAAGGATAGCAGAGTGATAAGCCAGACACGAGTGATGTACTCAAAGAATTAAGATTGGACTCAAAGGATTTCTGTAAATACTTCAATATAACATCTTGGGATCCATTGTTTTCAGCAATATAATTGAAAAGTAATCATAAAAATGAATTATACATTGATCACTGCTGATGGTCTGAGTTAGATATTTTGATATGTGATGTGTTATACTGGGTACTGACATAATGTTGAATATTAGATATTATAAGCATTCTGCTGTGATGACCTGTGCTAGATACATAATGATGTGTGTTGTATTATAATCTTCGGTGTTGATAATAGAAATATATATATTATAACTGGCTGTTATCATTTTACATCAAATCTTAATTATACAAAAGTTAGCAAATACAAAAAGTGATGTTTCCATCATGATGCAGAATTGCACTAGATATTTTCACTGACTGTGCTACATTTTGGGTATTTCAAACAGTCGACGGAATCTATACATAAAGACTTCCTTTTCTCTGTTAATTGGTGGCACTGATGGCAGATTTACACTCTACCTGAATAACGTACAAATGTTTGATGTCACTAATGGCAATATGTGTGTGTATGTGTGTGTGTGTGTGTATATGAGGATGTATGTCATAATGTGTACTTCGGTAGATAAATGTGCAGCAGTTGATCACGACCCTACACAAGTAAACCATGTTACAAAAGCAAATCTTTAGCTACTATGCTTCTCATTTCCACGATTCCTTCCATTTTCCTTTAATGCAAGACTAGTTTAGATGGTTCCCATGGTCTATGCAACGTTTGACTTCCCTGGTTATCACATTTGGAAATTAAAACCATTAAATTATCAGATACAATTAACACTTATATTGCCTGCAATCGTTTCTAACACTCTGACGGTGCCTACAGTTTCCTTCGCTACTTCCATTCTGTTGTTTGTGATATCTAGAAATGTATCAAATTTACCAGACCTGGGTGCTCAAAAAACAACAAGGACAAGAAACTACCTACATGTCAACACAATCATAATTCAAACTCAAATTCTATAAAACTAGGGCAAAATATGATTTACACGGAGACTCCTAAAACTTACAAAGAAAAGCAAGTAAGCACCTATTTGGATTGGGCAAGGTTTACATGGTGTCATCGATGAAGTAGAAGACGTTTACTATTACGGAGCACATTGTGTTATCTTCATTGTACCATGCAAAGTTAACACCTATCTCAACAAACCTACAGCTGTAAAACCTCAGTTGCTGAAAGTTTACCAGTGACTAGATGAAATCTTAACAATGAAAACTGGCAACAACAAAAAAGCCTCATCTCATGTTAACCGATTGTATGAAACAGGCTGATTGAAATATTTTAATGTCATTTTTACTTCGGACACCAGTTTTCTGAGAAGATAAAGTTTGTACGTTCTAAACCATTTGAATAATTTCGAATATGCACATGCACGTGATTCTCATTTTACATTATGTAACTATAGGGCAAACGTACTCGGTACGTAATTAGTTTGGTGCGTTTTTGGCCATGGAAGGTTTCTATAAAATTTCGTTTAAATCACTTCAGGTGTTTTCCAGAAGTCGAAAATGTTTAAAGTTCACAACGAACGACGCCAGACAAAAGGGGATCGCAATAGGTCACCCTGCGATTTTTTGATGACAGAGATTAATGTGGAGTTATAGGACATTTTTATGATCTTCATCTTGATCTTGCTGGAAATAGTAATATCCATTTGCGACAGAATGATTTATACAAAATCATGTGAAATGTGTTATGCTTGCCATCAGGAAATGTTCTTGTGCAATATCAAGGAATTCGATTTCGATGCTGGTTATACCTAAAACGTTTCATTATTGTTTACCTAACTCCCCTTTGGGAACGTTACATTAATTATTGGAATGGACCAAGTGTTAAACATCAATTATTGTATACCAATCAGAAGACGCCTATATCCGTGATGTATTCGCAATTTATATATTAGATAACATCCCTTCGTATAGGGATTTGTTGAACGTGTGTTTGCAGCTGTATGATATAAAATATTTTCTTAATATTGCTACGAAGCATATTAACCACTAAATATATATATTACAACTACTTGTCCCCAAGTAATATTGCAGAAATTTATTAAAAACATTTACACAATAAAACATTGTTATATATCCTCATGACAAATGATCAAACAAGCACCAAACAAAACAAAATGCATTCCAGTGACGTTATTACACAATCTAATGCAATTTGACAAATACAAACATTGATTCATGTTTACATATAGGTATATTTAATATGTCAATTTTAACAGTTAAAAGATACATGTATAAAGTTAGAACTGCGTCATCGTTAACCCATGTGTTATGTGTGAGGTACATAGGGAACTTAAAGTTGATTCTGCAACGACTCAGGAGCAGACAACTCCGACGATCTGTAACAAATAATATAAAACGGACTTAACTACACATTCAAGCTAACCCTACTTTCTTAACTTTCACACACAAAGGGAAATAACTCTCACAGCACTAATAAAATAATTATTTATCAATCGTATACTATTACGATTTACAAATGAGACGTTTACATTTATTATTATAACTTTTATATCGATACTATTTATATCGATCAAATAAATATATATAGTAACAATGCAAAGATGCTTTTATCTTTACAAGTTATATTTAGTTAAAAGTTACAATATAATCATACATATGCAGAAATACAGATATACATATATACCTGAATGATGGCTCAAAGCCCATGTCCCAAAACTGACCATGGAGCTACAACAAATCCACTAGAGGTCTAGTTCAATATATATATCAATATATGTTCAGGCTTCTTGAACACGTCCTGTCTGGTCAAAGGAACGCCTCAGTCTGACAAGACAAAAGCCTAAACAAAGAAATATCCCGCCAAATCGCCCAATAAAAACAACCAATGAAACAACAGGAACTATATGACATAACACCACAAAGACTGACCACTTGGACATTACAATAACTGGTACAATACAGACGAAACGAAATGGCACTAAATACAGATACATAACTATATGATACACACGATACTGTGTTACGTACGCGACAATACAATACTCTGGATGATTGGAGAATAATATTAAAATAATGCCAAAAATACAATAATACATATTTAATGAAACAACTTAAAAATACACGAAATAATGTCCCTGCTACATACGTTTGTTTAATAACATAAAGAAAGTCTTCATTGAAGTATTTTTCAATACATTAATATTGAATGATGGGTATTGAATATATTTAATAAAACAATTCTGCCAGTTTTTGATTGGGAACAGGAGTTGTCGCTCTTTCAATTACGAGTAATCATTTCATTTCAATTTCATCTTAACTGAATAAGTATACAACAAATATTATAAACAGAACGTTACTGGGTATAAAGCTTTTAAAGCTTGGTCTGATAGATGTGTTATCTCTTCACGCTCGCGTCTGCGAACGTGCCAAAAGCTGAGAGTACAAATTTTAAAACTGTTAAATAACGAATAAAGTTACAATTTTCAGAATGCTTCTGAAATGGTCAATTCATCTACGAAAGTGAATATATTTTACGTGTATGTCTTCTAAAGAACCTTGTATAGGTATCTCTGGGCATAAAAGGCACACAACATGTACAATCAGTCATCATTGTGCATCGAGAGCGCAACGCGACACATCTGTATACAATTACATGCATATAATTTTATGTATAAATTATCGATTTCATCAATTTTCATTTTAAAATTAAACAGAAAAATGAAGTAATAATCATCAAAGGATACACTTATAGAAAAATACACGGTTAAACAATTGACCAATAAAAAAGCATTACCATTTACATCTTACGTTTATTTATCCGCCCATGAAAAATCGCCCATTACCAATTAATGTAAATTAACCTTGCCGTCACTTTGCACTTGTTTTACTTGTAAATCACCTAAGTTATCAGGGTTTAGCATATGTACCATTTCAAACCCTTGCTATGCTTCCAAATGTATCTATCTTGTGTAAGAACGTAGAAAGATTATTCATTTATATGATTCATTCGAGTGTTTTCCGTTTTATTTATGCCTTTTCTATTTTGTTCGGAAAGATACGAGTATTACAGGGAGTCGTGAGATAAAAACCACCTTTACATTATGTAATCGAATCGAGGTAAGTGTATTTCTCTTTTCTTACTGTCGATTAGGGTTACCTGGCTTAGGTGCAGGTTTGTAACACTTCGAACAGACAAGACGGATGGGTGTTAATCGGTTTGATAGATTGGGCACCTTTTATATTCAGAGATACCCAACTTGTTTCCAAGCAACGCAGACACTACAATGTTTGCACTTCCTTAGATACGATTATTAAATGTAGTGTTCATTATCTATCTGAAACCCAAATTTGACAGCTTTATGATTTGCACTTTCATTTTTTACTGAACGCCTCTAAGTGTTTTTCCGCTGCATTACCACTAGGCTTAATATTTATGGATTCATGGAAACATTGTTGTGCCTCCGGAACTGACTGAACAAGCATCAAGCAATATCCGAGCCAATTGTAATACATATGCACACTTTCATGGTCACGTGACTCAGTCACCAACTGGCGCAATGTTTCGATTAGTTGGTTTACCTCCTCACCTAACCTATGTTTACATATTATGAGTAGCAAGTAGCAGTATAAGCGAAAATTACTAGTAACATGACCGTCGTTAACAGCCAGTTCGTACTGAATGACCTCTGGAACTATGACTTCTTCATCACTTGTAATAGTATACGGGAGCGCCATAAATCTTGCCACTTTCTCTGCACGTGATAATCCCTTGTCACAAGCTGATTGTTCGTAGGCCTGGTCAATCCTCTGGTTTTCTATCCATCCTGATAGCTTACATCTTCTTTCAAGATCAATCACATGATCCGCTCGAGCATCTGTAACAAGATCATTGATGATCTTAACAGCATCTTTTACTTTGCCTACATGCAAATACAAAGTAGCTGTTTTGAGCTTGGCAGAGGACATGTCCGCATGAAGACCCTCCTTCAGCATGTCCTCAACCCTGGTAATGTCTGCGGGCCGCTTGCCTACGACATTTGGTATGTTTCTACACATGTGACAAGCCATCAGTAGAGACCAGTAACCCTTCAACACCGTCTTGATGTTGTCGTCCAAAAGCGGGCTCGATCGCTCCTCCAGGTTCCTAATTATAGTTTCGAACACCTCCAGATTGAATGGCATAGACGTCTTGACAGCATACTGGAAAAGTCGCCGTATTTCAAAACCTGAAATAATATTTCATTGTTAGTGAATACAAATGAAAGAAACGTATAAAGAACCAAATAAGAATGAAAACAAGTTACTGGACAACAACATTTGCTTCAAAGAGAACTCTGGTGAACGCCACATTCGGCTGGTGTTTAAATGTGTTAAACTAAGTCTATGTTCTCAAAATATAAGTTGACTGAAATATCCCTTACTAATTTCCGGGAATATGATAAAGTGACTATAAATAACAAACAAACACTTTATCTGAAGTAATGTGAAATCTGGAATGCTCACACGAAATAAGCAGGTGTCCAGAGTAACATCGGAAATATAAAGATCTTTTTTTGTAAATAAGAGTCGAAAATTTTAGATTTTGGAAAAGCTTTTACAAGGGTAAATTTTATATTTCTGACCAACCGTTTCATAAGGAGCAGAAAACAAAATAAAGTCTCGCCTCTAGCAAAAATCAACTGAATGGTTTTTGATGTGCAGCTTAGAAAAGGGCGAAAAGAGGTCAATTTGTATTTCAGAATAGCTGAGAATTATGAAATGTATTGAATCATGGAGATAATGCACCTCCCCATCTAGATTTCCACTTTTCTTTCGATCATTTTGGATTTATTGCAGTCGCTTCCTAAGCTTCAAAATTAAGGCATTACTGATGAGTCCAAGATGGACAAAACAGCTGTTTGATAAATTCCAATTCATTATTTGGCTCTGCTGTATCTGTCTAACTCCTGATTTGTATTTTAAGGTGTTATTCACTGTTAGCAGGTGGAAGACAGTGCTGGTAAAGTTTTAGTCCCCGAGGTTTGCCGTAGCCTGCATGCCACGTTTTAATTCATACACATATAACTTGACGTTGTTCCAAAATTATATGATATATGAAAGTAATGACATTCAATGAATTAAGGGGCTAGTGCACATCCCCATCTAGATTTTCACTTTTCTTTCGATCACTTAAAGATTTTCCTCGGTTCCCTCCTTATCATCAAAATTTAGGCCCTTAGCATCATTGACGAATCCTAGAAAGGCTATACAGCTGTACGCTGCATTAATTCCGTATTTGGCTCTACCGTATCTAGCTCTAAATTTGTATTTAAGGGTGCTATCGACTTGCGTGTCGTTTGTACGGTCTTCGAGATAGATGGTATAAAATGCTGGTGAACTTAGGACTAGCTGTAACCTGCATGCCACGTTTTAATTCATTCAGATGGTGGCACGGTTCAGAAAATACACATGTACTTGACATTGTTCTAACATCATATATCAAAATTGTGAAATTTACTCTTGGCTCTACTGTATCTAAGTCTAAAATTTGTATTTAAAGGTGCTATATACTTGTGTATCTTTGCTACTATTTTCCATGGTAAATTTATTTTCTAAGTTGTAGACCGGAAGAACAAAGCCCAAGCTGGATTTCCGCATACAGATTTTGTGGATAATACTCATCCGACAGGAGCATTTCTCAAACGGTTCGATGTGACAAGTTATTGCCAGATGTCCGTGATTACTTACAAGTGTGGAAAACTTCTTGAAAAAAGGCAAAATCTAATCTTCGCTCTTCTTCAAGATCTTTAACGCACATTTCGGCAAAAGATTGTTGAAGGTTGTGAAACTGCTCAGCTCGCTGACAGAATGGCTCCAGTTCTAAGAAGTAGTCCTGTCCTGCTTCTTGTATAGTATGGAGAAAGTTGAGAAGATTAACCTGAAGATTCGGTGTCATCGTCATAAACATATCGTAGCGCTTAACGAAAAAATTTGGACAAGAACGATTCCTTGTAACGTCAAAAAACTTTTTTAAAACCAAATCCATACATCTGGCGACGTTCACCTCGACCCATAAGTCGGGTGGGTAATCCTGTATAACCCAGAAGAGACAGTGCTTTACAACCGTCTCATTGAAGACTGCTTTAAGTGAATCAGGCATCTTTTGTTCCAATATGGTCAACCAATATCCGTATACGTTTATCTGTGTTTGGTTAAGCGATCTGATGAGCTCTCTCTCAGGGACTGCAAATGACAGCATGAACACTGCCTCGCCGTCTTGGTCATCATCTGATGGTACGACGAAACATCCCTTCCTCACCATTTTGTCTTTTACTTCCTTGTTAGGCCAGTCGCTCCTGCTTAGTCTCTGAACCATGCTAAAGGAGGCTGGTGGCCATGTCGAGCATTGAATACAAAGCACCAACTGACCATCACCAGCTCCAGTGATAGGATCAGCTACATTGCCCTTAGCAGATAGTCCTAGTTCTTCAGAGCTGGTCGTCCGGAGAAGTTGGTGGGAAAGGTACCACTTTCGATCATCTTCCTGTATGCATACATTATAAATAGGATGGCGACGGGACAGTCCATGAGTTATCAGCTTCAGCTTATAATGCGTTGGTTTCCCGGGAACTTCTGAGAGTGAAAATGAGTTGGGACGTTGAGAATCATACATAGTGCACAAAACCACTAACTTGTCACACGTTTTAAAGTAAGACGTTTTGGCGGAAGAAGTTCTGAAACCTTCCCCTCGTGGTCCGCACTCGTGTATTTCATCTCCTGTCACCATCTTCCGTTGACTTTCCCTTGCTTCCCTAAACTTGTATCTCAAATCGAATTCTCGTCTGGAGCCGTAATGTTTGCCTAGATTGAGGGAGGTGGCAAGTGATTTCAGAATGTCTGAGCCATCAGTTGCATCACGTCCTATATCTTCGTCAACCATTGTAGTTTCATGGTAACCCTGTAACAGTAAGGAAGATATTAAAACTTTTGATTTCTTGTATGTAGCTGATCGTTAGGTAGCAGTACACAGTTTCTTGGTTTGACCATGGGTGATATTTTTGTTCATTAGATTATCCTATCATAAAGGTTTTAATTGAAATTTAAAAAAACCAAATCTTTGCTAAAATTGGTCTTGTCATGTTGAAGTGGACAGTATGGGGTTTCGTTTTTTTTTCAGAGTAATATTTCAACTACATTGTTATCTTGATCTTTATTGAGGAAACCATAATGAAACATTACACTGAATGGAATATATATTGTAGTACTTCATATTAATTTTGTTCAGATACACCTTACTGTCCTGTTGTAATATTAGAAATATTCTCAATCTATATTCTAGGAAAATTACATCTTGTTTTGTTTTACGTGCCAAAGACAGTGTCATAACTTTACTGGCAGCCACTGATATTCATTCCCTGATCTGTAGAGCACAGACGCTCATAGTTTTCGTTTAGGTAATGAGTTTATATGCTTATTGCAAATTCCACCTGGCATTTGTTATTTCGAAAAAAAAAGATAACATTCAATAGTCACTCTGAGGATATAAATTACCTGTAAGTCTGGCACCAAACACATACACAAACACACACACCGTCACACACACACACACACACACACACACGCACACGCACACGCACTCGCACTCGCACACGCACACACAGAGACAAACATACACACACACACACACTCACACACACACAAACACCCTCACACACACACCCACCCACACACACACACACACACACACACACACACACACAAACACACACACACACACACACACACAAACATACACACACACACACAAATGTCGGCAATAAATATTGAATATACACTGTTGTTTGTATCAGATATTACGAACATTCCAGTAAGGTCTCTTTTACATGGAAGTTATCTTGTAACAGCTGGTTTTAGTCTTTGGCACAAGATCATTGTTATCAGCTGAAGCCAAACAAACATGAACATGTAATCCAAACAGCAAAATCAAACCAGGTAAGGTTATCTAACTACAGTACAGAGATGAAGAGATTAATTTCATTTTTACCAAATAATTACTCGATTGGAGAATTGAAATTATGTACGTGTTGATATGTGGAATAACCTGAATGAATTTGTCGTGCCAAATGGCCTGTCTATTTATCTTCATACCCGGAAAACATAATGGTAGTAACATAAAGGCATAACATTATGTTAAGGATGAAGTAGATAAGATTTTATTTAATCCTAATTCCTTGTTCGAGATTTTTTAACATATTCAATGTTTACGGGCCCTGTGTATAACGTCACATATCACTTTCTACATCAATGTTTACGGGCCCTGTGTATAACGTCACATATCTCTTTCTACATCAATGTTTACGGGCCCTGTGTATAACGTCACATATCACTTTCTACATCAATGTTATGGACCCTGTATATAACGTCACACATCTCTTTCTACATCAATGTTACGTGCCCTGTTTATAACGTCACATATCACTTTCTACATCAATGTTATGGACCCTGTATATAACGTCACACATCTCTTTCTACATCAATGTTACGTGCCCTGTGTATAACGTCACACATCTATTTCTACATCAATGTTATGGACCCTGTATATAACGTCACACATCTCTTTCTACATCAATGTTACGTGCCCTGTATATAACATCACATATCATTTTCTACATCAATGTTAAGGACCTTGTCTTTTTTCAAGTCTTTCTTCAAATTACAAGATCTATTTGTCTACAGAAAATGTAATTGATTGAAAGATTTCCAATTTAACCATATATGGAACAGGAACGCAGGAACGAATAGCTAATTTCATGATACGTCATTATCTCTGCTTCTGAGTACTGTTTACGATCTCAGAGCCAATGCTGACTATACATCTAGACATCTATATTATCTTATCGATTTTCATTTGTACAAACCGCCAACAATTTTATCAGTGAGATTTATAAAATCATGCATGGAAGAGGAGTGCCAAGGCATATAACTGAAATATTTAAAAACGTGCTTTTCCTTCACAACTTTCCCTTTCATTTACGTGTCAGCTTGATTACATCACGGCTATAAATAGCACGGACACGTCCACCTTTCTTGACACTGATTCTTCATTGCACTTGTACTACAATGATAAGCTAGAACAAAACTGTCGCTAAAGTGCTATTTTGAAATCGGACGTAGAAAAAAAATCCTTCATCAACAACTCATGAATGTGTCAAATACAAATACAAACCAGTAGCATGTCTGAGAGGTGGTAGATCCGATTGATCCGACCGCCGTGTTAAACAGGCACGTTTATAACCATGATTCCGGAAAAGCTAGAGTGTGTTCGTCTATTCTCGGAAAAGGCCCGGATGGCTGTGTATATGTGTTTTTATGTTATTCTTCTGCCATCTGTCTATCTTCGAAGTTGGTATTACATTTAGTGAGCTATTTAAAAAATTTTACATATTTGTTTTTTATTTCAATGAGACAAAAAACAAAAACAAAAAAAACGACAAATATTTTTTTTCATTCATATGTGTTTATCATCTATATTAATGAGAGTTAAATCAATTCAAACTTGACATAATTTTACTCCATAGGAATCGCGCATAGCCAACCAACTGAATTCAGCATACTGTCGATGTGGGCATTCATCTTTAATTATCTGTCCCTTGCGTAAAATAAATATGTTATGTTTTTGGGAGAAGGCCAGTAAGTTGAATATACACAATATGGACGTTGCATCATGAAAACAATCAATCAAATAAAAAGAAAGAATTACAATTTTTAAAGGAACTACTTTTTTCAGTCTCTACAGCGGAAAAATATAGTCTGGCGTTTTATTTTATCATTTTTGAATACTGAGATCACACCTATCCACCTAACCCTCCCCTTCCCCCTCCCTCTCCCTCTCCCTCTCCCCCTACTCCAATCCTAAAGTATTTATGTAATGAACCATTTTGTTTCATCTTTGGCCAAGGAAGAATTCTAAAAAAAATGTTTGACTTCAGTCCGATGGGTTGGAGAAATAAAAAAGGCGATCATATTAGGTCACCATGAGACTTACAAATCTACAAGGGTGTTTTAGAAGTAGCGTTATAAAGGAAAAAATCTATTTATGAGCCGCACCCCTTCCGTAGCCTTTTCGCTGTTCGATTACGGCGTCATGTATACACAAAATGTTATCGCTATCCTTCAGATCAATTTTGGTCTTGAATGTCAACGAACATGGTGTATTTATCTGACATTTATACAAAGTTTACTCAAACATTTCAGACTCGATTCCAGCGGGAGAAATACATGTATGTTTACACACGAAGTAGCGCTGTAGTTAAATGTTTAAAAAGTTAGCAGGTCAACAATGGACGATGAACTTTGAACGTCATACCATGCCATGTGTTCACTGGACCAATTTCACTAGTCCTTTGGACGTTTTCAGTGTCGTTAGGTTTGGTGAGAGTTAGCTCCCATTACTTGTGACTTGGAATGTCTGGACATCTTAAAGTACGGATACACATAACTGCCTACGGTGGCTGATTTCGGCTGGTTCCGTTTTGTTGCCCCGGCAGAACGGTAATCTTTATCTTATCGCCCTTACTAATTTTTTTTTTTTTTTTTGCTGCGAATCATCGTTAACTCGCCCACTGATTGTTGTCTTTCCACTGCGGCGTAACGATAATCAACGTTATGTCGAGGCGAAAAGACGATAATACCTGGACGAAGAGGCGATAATCAACGCGGCGACATAACGATTATGTCGTGGCGAAGAAATGAAAAATACGGCGTCTTTTCGTTTAGCTGTTGTGAAAATACAATAATCAGAGTGGGCGAAAAGACGAAGATTATCATTCATCCTGGGCGACAAAACGAAACAACGTAATGCCAGAAATCAGTCACCTTAGCCATACAGATTATTTCGAGATTTTGATCAATATTACCACATGGTTATTTTGTTAAAATACGCTTTGAAAATTTGAAAAAAAAGAAAGAAAAAAATTTAAACCGCGATTCCGCATGCATTATGGTAACCTGTCTGGTTTAATTTTCAAGGATTTGGAACAAAGCCATATTGATCGTGATAAATTGGTTTAACCGTTCGAAATAATATTCCTGGAATTCTCTACAACAAGTATTCATTTTTTTATGATAGGCTACAGGTAATTCTTCATATATTTATCACGTGGGGGCCACTTTACACAAAGGATAATGAATTAATTAAATCTTTGTCCAAAAAAACAAGGCTTGAAACATTACCACGTTCTTTGATATCGGGTAGTTAGTTATCACGTTTCCATTATCAACAAGACGACGCCATTTTGAAATTGCCATTATACACAATATCCTATGTTTTTCTTATTCACTGCTCGGAATCGCTGCCAAACTAACAAGATATGAATTCAAAGAAACCCCACAGTATACACAAAGATTTGTTGAAAAATTACTTATTCAACAATCACCTGGTCTGTCAATAGAAAATCGCCGTTTTAATCGGTGAATAGAAAGCGTCTCTTTGATTGGTCAAAAATCAGAAAAGTTATATCCTTACTGAAAAATCCAATCATCACTAGTAATGATATAGGATTTATGATATCTACACTGCATTGATGTAATAAGTTTTTATCGTATTGATATTTTCTAACAATTCACGAGGAAACAATTAATTAATGAACCATTAATAGGAACTGGGGGAAATGGAGGCTTTTACTAATTCCCTCACACACTGTGCATTCTCCTATCACTTTATGCATGACCATTATACTGTATCATAAACAGTTTATCTGATCGTGTCAACACAGCTCTCACAGCAACATATGACGAATGCCTATCTACTACCTTAAAAAGAAAACAATAATGTCTGTTTACAAACAGGTTAATGGTTTGATATCATGTCTTACTCTAGATGACAAATACTGCTCTACCGAGCGACAACGCCATAAGTTATAACATTCATTTCTAAAAGTCAATGTTATTTAACATTTCATTAATAATACCATGAACATGCTAATTAATTAAGATCACTTTACAACCCTACAGAATTTCTCGCATATAACTTAATTTTATGATTTTAGAGTGAAGATCTTGATATTTAAGTTATAGATACACAGGTAACCTCTATTTAGTAAGGAAATTCATGAAAACACATACGATCTCCTTGATCCGTGGACATCACCTTACACTCTAGCAAGTACTTAAGAAACATATCATGGCCAAAATTTCAGCCAAAGAATCGCGATCGATCAGCTACCTTCGCAGGAATTTGCAGGCATGCTCACAAGAGGTCAAGGACAGATATTTCAGAACATTTTCTTCAGGTTGGTAATGTCAATGGAACAGAAGTTCTTATAACACAACAAGAAGAAAGTCACCTTCATCAAACAAACGACCAGTGTGAAGTGTACTAACACTGACGTAGTGTACGAGATGGTAAGGAATTTTATCACATAACCGACCCGTTTTCCAATGTCATACGCCCATGTCATAATAATGGTAATACACATGTGTAATAAATGTTTAGGGTCTGCTGATTGGTCAAAACCGTGGGACCGTATTCATACGCCCGCGCGCGTACTACTTTTATTTACTACAACAAACTGTAGTAAAATATGGCTGACCAGATCAACATTGGCGACACAGTTTTGATTGATAAGAAGGGGACTGTTGTGGTGAATGAGATAATCCCACGGGGGTTTGCTGTATTTTATAATGTTGAATTGCTGTAATTTATAATGTTGAACTCGTTTAATAAATTCCATAATACATTGACACTCATGCAAGATCCTCTATTTATCGACTGTGCTATAATGATATGTATATCAAGGAAGAAGAAAAAAGTGTGCCGAGATGACAAAAAGATTAATGAGAAAAATACCCGATATCGGAACAATGTACTGCAGTCGATTCGGCTGCGCTTTGTTTAACACTTGGTCATAGATTTGCAAGAATATATGGACCATACTCGTCCGTGTTTAGTACTAACCCTCTGAGGCGTATCCAGATGACTTCATATAAAAAGGTTGTTCCCTGTCGACTATTTTGTAATTTTCCCAGTTAATGATATGATTTTGCAGCATGGAATAATCTGTATATTCAGATTTATCGATTTTGGATTGAAAATCATTTTTTTGCCCTTCCCGGATTCCATGTCTTTCCGATGCGTTCCATTTTGCATCCGATTTGTAAACGTAATCTGTGGTGTTCTCTTGGGGGTTTTTGTCCTTAGGATGAATTGGGATATTTCGGCGTGTCTTGTGAGGTTCCATAGCCATTACAATACTTTGATCACAGTAAAACCTCTGATAATCTCTGACAGGCCTTTGATACAGGGGATGACTACTCGTTCTGTCATTTTTCTTTTCCTTGGTGTTTCGTATCTTGGTCTTTCCTTTGATTTCTCTTAATTCGTTGTTAACTGTCTGTTCACACCACGCCCAACTTCTGGTTGTTGATCGGAAGTTGAAGTATTGCTCCATGTGCGTCTTTTTCTACAGACCAATACTTTGACAGTATCGCCATCTTCCTTTATTAGAAGGGTGTCAAGGAATGACAAAGAGCCATCGGTTTCTTCCTCATAGACGAATTCGATACTGTTGGTGATATCTGCGGTTTAAATGTGCGCAGTAAAATCCTTCTGAGACCCATTCTTAACTATTTCCAATATTTCATTAACACATCGTTTCCACAGACAAGGCTTGAATTCAATGGGAACCGTTGCCAGAATTTTTACCATTTTCTTGAGACATATTCTGATTATTCTCATGCATGTACGACGTCATCATCTGACCAAAACTGGGTACCGGAAATGGCATTTTTCAATTTCGAAATAGCTGAAAAGTCTAATGGAGCAAGATCAGGCGAATACGGCGGATGCTCAACCAATTCTAAGCCAAAGTCGTTAATTACAGCAATGACAGACTAGTAAACAAAGACATTGTCCCGATGGAACAACACACTTTTTGCATATAATCTACCATCAAAATACCATCAGCATCCCAGAAAACCGAGGTCATAAGCTTTCCAGCTGATGAGAGTTTTTGTCTTCTTTGGCGGGGTGAACCACAGTGCTTCCATTGTTTAGACTGTTGTTTGGCCTCTGGAGGAAACGATGGGCCCACGATTCATCCATAGTAACGAACCTGTGCAGTTAGCAAGATCAGATTAGCACGCAATAGAGTCCGCCTGGTGTGCTTCTGGTTAACTGTCAGAAGTCTTGGTACTCAACTGGCCGAGAGCTTTCTCATTGCAAGATTTTTGGTAAGAATTGAATGTACTCTTTCCTATGAAATCCCAACTGTGCTGTTTACATATCTCTCTCTGTGATTCACCTGTCAGTAATAAAAATAAGATGACTTTATTGACCATTTCCAGGGTTCCAACAGTTACAGGCCTTCCAGGATGGGTGTCATCTCCAAGGCTCTGTTTTCCATGCTAAAATTCCGCCACCCAAATTTTGACAGTAGCATATGAAGGATCATCATTCCCTAATCTTGCTACCAAGTCAGTATGGATATCCTGAGGTGTTTGACCTTTCTTATGCAAATATCGAATCACTGCTTTATCAGCGATTTTGTCTATTTTGCAAAAGTTACATTTGTTTTTTACTTTAGAGTGCTTCCTCTTCGACATAAACTGACCAATTAAAACCAAACTTCGGGAAC